TTCCCTGACTCCCAGTGTCCTTGAAACTAGACCATTCTGCTTCCAAAGAGGCATCCCAGACTGGCTCTGAGCGCGAGTTAAAGACAGACAATGTTAGATGAGGTTTGGGTGTGGTGGCATTTCCCGCAGACCACGGTGAAATGGAACCTGAGGTTTGCCTGGTTGGTTTTGGCATGCGGGTGTGTGTGTTAGTTTCAATGGGTGTGTCTGAGCTTCCCGGCCTTCCACTCATTAGAGCATTCCGGACTAGGCCACTGCAGCAAGCAGGGCCCGGTGCCATTGAGGTCATGACGCACGGGCATAGAAAAGGGACTCTGCTCAGTGCCAATCACCCTGCCAGTCTTTGGGAGTTCGGGCAAACTAGGGATGCAGGACTTTGGGACGGAATCAGTTGCCCACCTTAGGCAGGTCTGCTTAGTTCTTTTTAGTATATATATATATGTATATATGTGTATATATACATATTTATGTATATATAATTTAATTGTATTTATTTATTTACTGGCCAGCATCAGCAAGTTGTATTCACTTCATTTCTCTGTGGGGCAGCTACCCTTCTCCTTTGCTCTCTCTCTCTCTGTCTCTTTCCTTTCTCTCTCTCTCTCCTTCACTCACTCTGTCCCTTTCGCCGAGTCTCTGGCTTGGAAAGGAAAACCGTAACTCATACGTTCCCTTTCCTGAGAAGGAGCCACTGCGAGCAGCGTCCACAACAGGCAGCCATGGCTCCCCAGGTGAGCCACAGGCCCGCTTCTGCCTTCCGGAGGAGTGCCTTGCTCAGAAGGGGTCTCCCCCCCCCCCCCCGGGGGGGGCTTTTAAGGATTGCTCTTGCCTGCATTTCTCCTGAATGCTGCGCCAGTAGGAATAAGCCCGAGTGTGAGTTTTGCCCTTTCAAGGCCTTAACCACAAGCGCCTTCGGACTAACCAGCTTGGTGCGGCAGCAGCTCAGGCAGAGAACTCTAGAGCATCCGTTCAAGCATCTGAAACAAACGAATCAGCCAGTGAAATCCCATCTGTTAGCATCTGTTCTCCTCTTACACTAAAAAAAAGGAAAACACACATATATATGTGTGTGTGTATATATATGAGCAGTGCTACAGCTTTGGGTGGAATCATACTTTAAAAAACAAAAGACGAAAAACAAAACCAAAAACTGACTTGCCTTCCAGACTAAGGCGACAAGGGTTAACGGGATCTCACATAGGTCCGCTCTCTGGGAGGAACCTGCTTTCCTGTCTTCGGGCGTCATGTCTGTCTGAGAGGGCCACAGGGAGGAACACTGGGGACTAACACTAATGACTACTTTCATACCACCCCCATCTCCCAACCACCCTAGTCTGTGGGCCAAGGCACAGATGTTAACGCCACTCAGCCGCAACGCCCCGATCCTGCAGAGCTCTGTGTCTTGGGCTCCTTAAATCCAGCTTCTAAACAGACACAAGACTAGCTGCCTGGGATTCCCTGTGGTTCGCTTGGGTGGCTTCTCCTATGAGTGCATGGAGGAGACCAAAGGACTTGAATGTTAAAAACAAAGAGGAAAGAACAAAAACTTCTCCCGCTTTGGGGTCTTCTGTCGTGGGTGAGACAGCTAGACTCATGCATGGATCACGTGGCAGCATGGAGGCGCTCTCGTTCAGGGGGACCTTCCGGGCGCATTACTGCTCGCAGGGAAGGGGGCTGAGAATCTCTTGTGGCTGTGTGGCTATGCTCCTTTATGTCTGTGTTCCTCGTGGAGACTGGCAGGGCCGCTCAGATGTAGCAACGCGGATGAAGAGCAAACGCTGATTCAAACCAAAGGGGATGTGCGTGTGTCGGATGAGTGAGAGAAAACAAACAAAAAACAAAAACCAAAGGGCTAGATGCAGCTTCTCTCTGGCTCCCCTCCGCAGAAGGGCTGGAGAGAAGTTTAGTTTCCACGATGGAGATGAAGGGATGGAGTGGACGGATGGGATAGTGCACACACATTCAGACCACAGAGAGGCCAGAGGACACAGGTGCCCAGCCCCTTCCCGTGCAGAGGCAGGAAGGCCCTCGGTCGTCAGTCCCCCACCACGGGGAAGGTTAACGCTACAGCTGGGTCTGAACGCAAGGCGCTCAGGCTGAGCCCTCGAGGGGGGGGTCCAAATCACAGTGCATCTGTGTGCCCTTGAGGGCCATGACATGGAATGGGGGTGCAGGGCGTGGGTGCCGGTTCTGAGAGCTCTTCAGACAGACCTCACTTCTGCTCACACGGTAATGTCACACTCCACTCCCCACCAGCTGCAGCCTGGGGGCCACACCCTCTGGTACCCCGTTGCCAGAGCCTGCTGCTCCCTTTTCAACCAGCTGAGCCCACCCTCGGGCCAGCAGCTGCCTCAAGGGTGGGTGTGTCTTCCTCCTAGCTGCGGTCAGCTGCCTTTTCCCCCCACGGCCATCCCAGCTCCCTAATGCTACGTCACCCATGATATTTCGCAACGCAGAAAGGAGCCCTCCTTAGGCACTAATTAAATGTAGAGTAACAAATCGCATCCAAAGCCATTTCTGTAGCAGAGGGAGCCAAAAATGTAATTAGAATTATCCATCAAGGAGACAAACATTTTCTATTTTTAATGCTTGCTTCAGAATCAGATGCCTTTTCAGAATTTAACTGTCAAGATTATGAACACAACTTAATTTTCTATGCTGTGTACTTAATATAAATTACAGCCCCAGCCTCAGTTCTCAATAGGACCATGGGAAAACATATTTGTATCATCTAGCTAGACATATTTGACTTCTACCAGTGAAATGAAACTCTTTAAGCAATGAAAATGAAAAGTCTTATACAGGAGAAAGCCCTCAACATTATTTTAACATAATGTGGTTGTCTCTCGCCCAGAACCTTTATGGCACACTGTTAGCACCGTCTGAACCTTCAGCTCAAGGCTCAGGAAGCTCCATATGCAAATGTGGTGACCATTTAAGCCACGTGTTGCTTATGCTATCCCAGAATACCAGAACCATGCATCCAGACACCAGAGCAAGCCTTGCGTCTTCAGAAAAGGTCTTAACGCCCCAGCCACCCCCTCACCCCCCCCCCCAGCACACACCCAAGAGTTACATAGATACCCTCCACTGGAACCTGAAGACTCTCCTCACTCAGAGATAAACTGACCGCTACAAACTGCGACATAAGCTGCAGCAGAGACCAGTTCCCTCCAGAATGCCACGTTCTGATCCCGCCAACTAGAGTTCTAGAGCAGCAAGACATTCTGGGTAGGCAGAGTGTACCCACCAACCTCAGAAATCCAGCCAACCTCTCCTACGACGGAGCAGAAGGTCATGTGGGGGGGACAGGCTTCTTCGGCACATGCTAATGCTCTCTGCTGGTGGCCAACCTAGCCATGTTGTCACCAGGAGGATATAAGCCAGGGAGGGACTCAAATTGGCAAAACTCCGCTGTTTAGCTTTTATCCTTAGAGGCTACTTGCGACTGTAATCTTAGAGTCACAGCCTTGGCTTTTGCAAACCAGACTGACAGGAGGTGAGAGGACTTAAGTCTGTGACCAGAGACGGCAGCAAGGCAGAAGGCTGTGCCTGTAAGTCACCGGGCTCCCGAAAGTTCACGGGATCAGGGAGCGAAAGAACACAGACAGACTTGCACGGGGGTGGGGGTGGGGGTGGGGGGTGGGTAGGGGGCTGTCCACCCGCCCCGCCAGCAAGAGACCCGCCCAACCCCTAGGAGCTCACCCTGAGTCACGGCTGGTCACTGCCCGCAATCGACTAACCTGTGGCCACAAACACTCCACACTCCTCATTCACCACCATCCTCACTGACACTCTTTCTCACAGCAAGGTCACAGTCAGGCCTCGGCTCGCAGCCCCCCCTTTGCGAACACACAACAGCGCTGGGCATATGCTCCGGGGACAAAGCGCAGGACCGGTCCTCGTTGGACCTTATCAACGCCCACAAGGCCACATTTAAGAATGGTGAGAACAGGGACACAAAAGTAATTTTCATGTAAATTAAAAAAAAAGTGAGGAAAATGCTTTGTTGGCGGTGGACTGAAGGTACTCCAGGTAGCCCGGACAGCAGGGCCTCACGACGGCTGGCCAGCCTCCACACAGACAGCGCCTGTCCGCAGTGCTCCTTAAAGACAACCAGCCCCAAACCACCTTCTCTCGCTCTTGGCCTGCAAGTTCTAGCATGACTCCTTGTCTCTCCATGCCTGCTTCCCACCCAGAGCTCTGGACGTCTTTAGGATTCTATTGCCTTTGGATGCCTGAACCCTGATTGGCCTGGCAGGCACAACTGTGTGTGGTGTGTGTGTGTGTGTGTGTGTGCGCATGCGTGCGTGCGTGTGTGTGTGTGCATGTGTGTGTGTGTGTGTGTGTGATGTCCTGGAGGAAGGGAGATGGGTCAGATGCTGGTCTGTGTGTGTAGCACTTACACAGCAAGCCTCAGGACACAGCACACAGAGACAGACACGCCACATACACACATACACACATGCCACACACACACACACACACACACACACACACCATACTAGGGAGTGATGGATGTTATTGAAATGGACCAAAAAACCAACAAGCCGTGGGGTAAGAAACGAACAGAAACAAATCAAAGCACTTGCGCTCAGATGGAAAGCTGTTCACTGGGCAGCTGGACCCCGTGCCCGGGGCTATGGGAAGGGGACCCTGCCTGTAGGATGCTGCCTTTGGAGAAGACGCAGGGGGGCTAGGGCGTGAGGTGAGCATTCACTCCTTTCCCATCGTGGCTGTCCTGGGGGGCCTTGCGCACAGGCCAGATGGTGGCAGGTGCCAGGTTCAACAGAGAAGACAAGAAGTGGGGGGGGGGGGAGTACTTACCTTGTGGCTCAGAAATGGCTAGTCCACAGTGGGGTGTGTGTGTGTGCAGTTATCTCGGATTAAACAAAATCCTTGTAGCACTGCTCAACCATGAATGGTCAGCTCTCTAGTACTTCAGATTAAAGCTGGCGACATGGTTAGTGAGGGAGAGGGAGAACAAGAGGACAATTCACCTGGAGGGCAATCGTGGTGTTCTTCGTGGGGTACTTTCCCACCAGGCCTTGTTCTTTCCGTTTCTTGAATTTCCTAAAGTAGTCCTGTATCAGGAAAGTGGCATAGAACTTCCCCACGGTTACCTCATCATCTAAACGGAGAGACCAGACACAGCTCTCCCGAATCAGCACATTTGGACCAGGAGCCTAAACCCTCACTTCTGGCTGGGGCAGGGGCAGGGGCGGGGCACCGGGCTGTCAGTCTATATAACACAGGCTGCTCGGTCTAGCAAGAAGCAAAGCTTTGGCAAAGCAGTTAAGGCTCAAAGTGTGAGTCAGTTAAGTAAACTGATCCCCGGGGTTTTGCAGGAAGTAATGTCTACCAATCACGAGTCTAAGAGAGTAGTGTATTAGTAAGGATGTGAAGCACCACCTTGGTTATTTACTTAAAATAAACATTACAGAAACAGGGAGGCCTTGCGGGTCACATTTTCCGCCCTGCGCATAGAGATTTGCATGTGTAATTACTGAAAGCACCGAATGCAATTAGGCATCCAAATCCCTATGCCACAAGACGGAGATCTTGGAGAGCGTGGAAGGAGAGGAAGGTCGGAACAGAGACTGCAGCTCCAGATCTCACACGCTCCCCTGCTCTTGGCCAATAAGCTCCGAGGCCGTTTCTTGGTTTGAAATTCAGAACGGCTGGACTTCTGCACTGCAATGAGAGCCCCAGCTAACCTCAGCACCGAGCAGGCTTTACATCCGCTCTGCTGGGAAACAACCTTTAGCATGTATCGCTCGGGAATCAGAACCCTGCTGACAACTTTGAAGGTGATGCATGAGGCAGAATAGAGGCTCTGACTGTCTCCTGGTAAACCATGGTGGGCATGGATGTCAGTGTGTCCCCCAAGGTTGATGCCACCGCATCTGTAAGGCACTGAGGTCTTCTGGGCAGAGAGTGGCAAGGTTACAACAGCAGCTGAGCTTGTATGGGGGCTGTGTCGGGGGGGGGTGGCTGGGAGGCCATCTGACAGGACCTGCAAGGTCTGGGAAGAGGAACGGCTGTGGGTACCTGGGCTTCGGGTCAGGCTGGCCTTGCAAGAGTCACATGGATGGGGGTGGGGTGGGTAAGAGGGTCACACCCTGTGTGAGCTTGTATTCTCCCGCATAAAACACGGCTCCATCTCAGAGGAAGTGAGGATGTAGAAGAGAAGGCATATAAAGCATAGGAACCCTGGTGCGGGCTGCCCTAGTGCCAAGCACCCTACGATTACAAGTAATCTGTCACTACTGTTCCAAGTCAAGACAACGGCATCACTTACTGAAATGGATGCTGGAGCATAGGAGGCTCAGGGTCACTGGGACCCACTGAGCCCACTAATACAACGTTGGTAGGGTTCGTTTGTTTTATTTTTTTAGTGCCCACTTGTAAGGTGTGGCTGATTCATGGTTCCCACCCAGAGATGGCTTGGGGGCACTTTGGGCATCTTCTCCAGCCCCCTCCTGCCGGAAGTTGCACAGCATTATCTTGCAGGCTGCTTTAGGGTGGGCTGGCCTTATATTCCTCCTGAGCCCAAGCCAAGGATGCCCTGGTGTGGTGGAAGAGCTACTGAAGAAAACTGAGGGCTCCGTGCTGCATCTGAGATCATTTGCCCTGTCTGGCTACCAGGTCATCGACACTATCCAGAGAGGTACTAACCCTGAAAGCAAGCCCAGCTGTCCTGCTCTGCAAAGCCTTCATCTCCAGCTTCTGTCCGTTAGCTACAGCTAGGCACGGTGACTGGAAATCTGGGGAGCAGTGTCCAAGCCCAGCCATGCTCCTTGTGGGTCTCACAACTTCTACATAACAATTCTGCTCTTCCTTCTAACAGAGGGAGAGGTCACTATGACTGGAGCAGGTCAACCATTCCAGGACCTGAGCCGAGGTCCCTCTCCTTCTCCGACCCTACCTCTCTACAGAGAGCCTGGCTCTGGCCATACCCAACACCAGCTTTTCTTTGAGCTGCCTTTCTAGGCCTTCCTAGCTCTTTCCTTGTAAGCCAACAGCTGCTGGGTCAGGGTGACCACGGAGCCCAGAATCTCTGGCACCTTCAACGATGCAGATGCCTTTTGTATTTCAAGGCCCCATAAGCCCTGAGAAACTCCTTGACTCAACACAGAAGCCCATTTTACTCTATGCCAGGCTGTTACTAGCAAAGAAGTGCTGGCCATCCACTCTACAGCAGCAGGGCAGGACTCCGGGATGGCCTAGCATCGCCCCACTGAGACAGATCAGTACTGAGAGCCTAGGCCTGAACAAGAGCTCAGAAGAGCAAGAGAAGCCCAAGCCTGAGAAGGACGGGAAAGAAACAGAGAGAAGCAATGCACGCGGTGAGGCCGTCCTGGGCTCGGCAGAATGCAGAGGGGACCACGAACCAGAGGGCTGGCCCAAGGATGAGGACTCAGCTGGCGGGAGGGGTCTCCGAGGAAGAGGAGGCTTCTAAAAGACAAAGGGAAGTCTGTGAACTAGCGGAGACGGCAAGAGGCCACTGAGAGGTGAGATCCCAGGCCGAGGCATCTCAGCCTCATGACAGGAATGGTGAGCAGGGAAAAAGGGGCTCCCAGGATGCCCTCCACAGCTGGTCCTCAACATCAGTTTTCCGCCAAGCTCGTGACGAGCAGTGGCAGCTCATGCCGCATCCCAGCAACAAAGCCGCCTAGACAAGCATCTTGTTCAGCTCCCCTCACCAGCTACGAGGTCACCTGAGCTCCCTCAGGGCACAGGTTGGCCACTCACTCTGCTGCTCTCTAATCACACTGTACTGTGGGAGACGCTAACGCCCGGAACAAGCCATCTGGTTTGTCCCAAGGGCTGCATCATGGTGTCATCTCTAAAGTGTGCCACTATGAGGGAAAGGTTTGGAACCACGGGTCTACTGGGAGATAAGAGGAAAAAAAGAAACGAAAGAGACAAATGATGACTACAAACACTAAAACCCAACCCAGAGTTATCCACTAAGGCCTGAAGGTCGCTACTGTTTATCTCCTCTGGTGGCAAATGTGATTATCTGAGATGTAAACTAGGTAGGAACAGACACCACAGAAACTTCCAGATCATTCTACGTCTTCCTAAGACTCTAGTTCTTTCCTCTTAGGTATCATAATGCCTCTGGCCGCTACTGGGGAACATATTGACGCCTACCATCACAGACCCCGAACCCTGAGAACAGATGCAGAGAAGAACCAGGTTCTGGAAGTGGGGTGCATTTATCCTTCATGAGAAACTTAGTGGAGATCAGTAGATCAAGCTTTTCAAAGGAAGTGAGTTGAGGTCATAAGCCAGATTCTGAACTTTTTATTTTCCTAGTAACATGGAAAGAACTCGAGTGTCACAGTGATGCAGATGACATTCCTCAAGCATACCCTGTTGTGAGGGGAGGGCTATTCCTGTGGGCATTAGATGGGCCGCAATGAAGGCGATGGATCCAAAGAGTCAGGATTGGAACAAAAGAGGTGAGGGTCTAGTGTGTATGGGAGAGGTTTACACAGATAGGCACAGCCTACTATTCTGAAGCATGCATCCGTGTTTCAAGAAACAATGTAGGGGAATCCAGTTGGCAAGAGATAACTCTGATTCCATGCCACCACCCTAAAACAGAATTGCTTCAGAATATTCTGAGAGTTGAAAGGAATGGAGGCTGCAGAGAGAGCTCAAGCGTAGTGTTACAACGGTTTAAAAAGCGGTTCATCTAAGCCATGCGACCACTTGGATGTGCAGCTGAAAGGAAAAAACAAAACAAAACAAAAAAGCAAAAAACGGAAACCAAGAGGAGTTTTAAAAGTGCAGAATCAGGTCTGGGGAGCTGGGGTCTTGAGGTGGGGAACCCGCCTCCCACACTTTGGTCGTTTCTTTCTGAGCTGTTTTCCCAGAGTTGATCCAGTGGCTAGGCCAGCTAGGGGTGGCCTGAGTCCCGCTAAGAAGTAGGACTGGGTAATGCCTGGCTCCTTCTGCCCTCCCCCCGCCCCAGGAGCTACAGGCTATCACTTTCTGGGTGCTGGATTCAGCATCTGAACCCGAACCACGCCATCCTATCATAGTTCTGTTTGTTCTAAAACACACCAGGTGTTTATCATGTGTCCAGGCCAGGGTTAGCTAGACTGCTGGGGAGGCGTGGGGGGGGGGGCACTAGGTAATCGGATTCTGCACTTTTAAAGCTTGAAACGAAACAGTTGGAAAATAACCATCTCAGTTCTACGTCCACGTGTAGTTAAACAAAAATAGAGAAACACTATATATGTATATATATAATATATATAAGGATATTATATATATGTAAAATTTAAATGTTTAGTCAGTTAATTGTGATTAAATAACAAAAGGAAATAAATAAGCATGCTTGTTAGTTCTACCGCTAGATTCTCATTAAAGGACAGCCTTGGTAACTACAGTGGTAAGTTCAGTCTTCTTAAAATTATTATAGAGGTATTCTCTCCTAAAAAAAAAAAAACTACCTATTTCCCTCAAGACGTTTGAAACTGCAAACTAGATTTACGTATTTCTTTCGGGGCAAAAGGCACGGCCTTTAATTTTGGGATAGCTGTCATATTCTTTCCCATGGATTTTTTTCTACTGACAGTAAAAACCCTGCTCTAGCCACCACATGGGGTCTGGACCCCTCCCCCACTGAAGCCCCCTGTCTTGGCTGTCTTCCTGTTACCCCAAACGTTTTCATGGGAAGCCAAAGGGCTCCTTCAGCCGTGGGGCTCACATTCTCTAGTTTGGTAAGGCGTTCCATGACACCCCCACCCCCACCCCACCACCCCGCTCTGGGCTGTCTGCTGCTACCGACTAGCTCCTCGACCGAGACGGACTTAGGAAGCAGAGGCCACACTGACCACCAGCTGGAGGGACGACTTGGTCCAGCAGCTTCATGCTCGTCTTCTTCCAGATCTTCTTTATCACTGCACGGAGCTCTTCGTTGGCTTGCTCCAAGTTCCCTGAATCCGGAAGGCAGAAGAGGGGTCTGTGGACGCCCGTGGGGGGGACAAGCCTCGCTTCTGCGGCCCAGAGCTCTCTCCCCGCCCTCACGACATGGCTGGGGCCTCGGGCTGCCTACACTTACCAAGCCCATGCAACGGGAGGGCCTGCCACCCGGTCATGTTTCACCCGGGGAGTCGAAGGACTGCCCTCTTCTGCTATAGCAACCTGCCCCAGACCCAGAGAGGACCCTCGCTCCTCCCTCGGCTCCCAGACTAGACAGCAACTGCCTCTGCTACTCTCCTCCTCTTCCTCCCCCTCCTCCGTCTCCCCCTCCCCTCCCCTTCTTCCCTTTTCCCTCCTCCTCTCCTCCCCATCTCCCCCTCCCCTCCCCTCTTCTTGCTCCTCTCTATCTCCCCCTCCCTGTCTTCCTTTTCGTGCCCTTACTCCTTCCCCGCCTCCCTCCTCCATTACACCCCAAATCCCGCCACCTTTGTTCCTGCAGATCCAGGCTACAACTTTACCTAAATAAGACTCACCTCAGGCCCTGCTATAGGCACTCAACCTTGACTTCTCCCTATATGTCTTTTCTACAGATACATCAGCACCATCCTGCCTTCCGGAACCCTGTGTATGTGTGTGTGTGTGTGTGTGACATCTCCTCCCTCTAGGGCTACCTGTTCCGCTTCTTGCTTCCAGGGAGTGCTCACCTTCAGTCTTGATCTTGAGAGCCGTACGGACCAAGGCAAACAGGGTTGCGTTGAACATGACTGTCCCGTCACTGTTGAGAGGCATGTTCATGGCGACTAATCTCTGTAGATGAAAAAGAAAGAGCACCTCAGGAGAATGCAAATGTTCTATGATAGCCACGTCCCTTCTTGGTGCTCATTCTGGGTTCATCCTTCATCCATGCTCTAGTCCACCTCTGCAACTCGGCAGCCATCTCTGAGACGGCTAATTATAGGCATCAATGTAATTAGTTTACAGGCTGCCCAGATACTGGGTTAGCTATCATTTCTAGGTAGGTTGGTGAGGGTGCTCTGGGAGAGATTAGCATCTGAACTGATGGCTGAGTAAAGCAGATGCCTGTAAAACTGAGTAGTCATCATTGAGTGACGGGACAAAACCGTGGGTCGTGGGGGGGACTGGATTCCCTCGTTGCCTGTCTGCTTGAGGTGCAACATCAGTCTTCACTGACTGAGATGCATCTCACTGGTCCTGCGGGTATCAGACTGAAGTGTACCACAGAGATGACAGACTGAAGAACTTCTCAAAATCACACGCGCCCGTACCACTTAATAAACCTCTTCCGGTTATGCATATGTGTGTGCCTATCTGCCTATGCCTGTACATCTACATGTTAGTCACATACAGACACACACATATATATGTCCATAGCTACCCCATCAGTCAACCCTGTTTCTCCAGAGAATTATGGTGAATACAATGCACCGTATGTGAGGGGCCTGGGATAACAAAGATCACATTTCAGCCATGAAATATAAATGCTGACAACCAGATGCTGCTTGATGCTAAATAATTAAACGTTATTGTCAAAGCATTCTTCTCGCCTCATTCATAGCTCTCTGCGTCTTGGGGGCCAGGTCTCCCCTCTCTAGCTACATCCTTAAGTGACACAACAGAGGCAGAGGCCAGACACATGCGCTGAGTCTTGGGCTGTCCACGAGCAGAGCTCACTGCTGGTCACCACCCAGAGAGTGTGTTCCTTCAGGGAGTTTCCAGAAATAGGACATCATGCACTGTCCCAGGTAGGTCTCTGTGGCTCCTCTGAAGGCTTGGTCTTTCAGAACAGATCAGCACTTCCTACTTCTCACTCTTCTCCAAGAACCTCTAACACCAGCATCGAGGAAAGCTGCAGGAGGACTTGGGGTAAGGGGCATCCTCTTTGGGATCCAGTCACCTCATTGAAAATTAGGACAGCATTCCAGGCTGACAGGCCTTGTGAGGATTGAAGCAGATCATAGGCACAAAGGTTTTATGCCTGGTGCATGGTATTAGCTAAATAATGCTAATATTTTTAAATTTTCTAGCCGGGCGTGGTGGCATACACCTACATCCTAGCAGGTAGATCTCCGAGTTGGTGGCTAGCCTGGCCTATATGGGGACTTCCGAGTTAACCAGTGCTACACAGTGAGACCCTGGCTCAAACAAACAAAACACAAAATCTAAAATTAAATTATATATACATACATATGCATTATTTTTGGCTAATGGCTTATTGCAAAAGAAAGGCTTAAGTGTTTGTTTGTTTTTCTACCTTACTGAAGGACTGGAATGCAGCTGTCTGGGCAACCTATCTAAACTCAACTTTTTCCGGCTCCAAAGTCAGTGCAGCCAGGATAACTGGGACACCCATTCACTTCTCCTGACAGAACTAACTCAGCAAAAAGAATGACTTTGTGTCTTAAGGACACGTAGACCCTACAGACAGAGGACTGTGGAATCCAAACAAAGACAAACTCAGTCAGTTGGGTTCTGTGCTGCTCTCTGGACTGGATGGAGTTCCTCAAGAATTTCAACAAGCAGATCTTGCATTCCTGTTGCTACAGTAACGTGAGACACAGCTCCCTGTGGGCTGTATGGGAGAAGGGCTAACATGAACTAGGGCTCCATGTGATCAGTTTGTGGGGATTACAGAGACGGGCTAGGAGACCTGAGCTTGTCCCCGAGACACCTCAGCTTCACGCCCCACAGAAAGGCTCTGTAGCCCTCTACAGCAGAGAGGACACATGCAACATGTCATCATGTCTACCACTGCCGAGCTAACTCAATGTCTACCACTGCTAAGCTAGGGCCTAATGTCCCAAACTGCCAAGCTAAGGGCTAAATTAGTTCTTTTCTCTTTACTCTCTCCTCATCTGTCTGCAAGTATTCCCCGCTGTGCTCCCTCAGAGGCCCCCCATGCTGCCCACTCCTCTTCCACCACACCCAATGCCCTCCTCCTGGCTGCCTTGTTTAGCTCCTTCGTCCAGTCAGCCTCTTCATGCCAGTACAATCAGCTCTGCGATGGTACTGGAAATCCACGTTTCCTCCCCAGTTTCATCATTCTCCACGGGATTCGGCGTGGCACAGACTGTCCAACCAGGTTCAGCTTACGCATGGGGCAGTCCCTCACTTCTTGTATTCTAGCCAGTGGCTACCCAATGGCTTGCTGTTGGCTGATCTGAGGCTCCTTCTGCTCTGGTCTGGACTCCTACGTCTCCTATGTACTTTATGTTGGTTTTGTGGTGCTGGGGAACCAAACTCAAGAAAGGACCTTTGGTGTGCTAGACAAACTGTCACAGAGCCACGTTCATAGCCACCTGGCCCTGGCCTAAATACTATGTCCTCTGACATCTAACCTGGTGACAGATTGCAGCAGCATCCCCTTCCTCTTCCTGGCAGGATTCTAAGTGTTCTACATGCGAGAGAGTGCCTCCAACGCAGAAGACATTATTACCTCCACATGGGCAGGACACTCACCTTACAAGCTACTCGGTGTGGACATAACTTTCCGAACCCCAGAGGAGGCTGGATTCGTCGGAGAAGAGTGACCACATCGAGGTGTTTTATCCTTCCCCTGGAAGCAAAGCACAGCCTGAGGTCCTAGGTAGCACGGCCCGCGTGAGCTTTCTTCAGTCCACCACGTCCACAGAAACCACCCGACATTCCCCAAGAACTCCCGCAAGCCAGGCGGGTGCTTTTCAACCTACTTTGCTTCAGGGTCGTATTCTGACCATATCCTTTTGAATTCATCCAAGTGATGAGGCCCCAGAATAGACCAGTCCCGGGTCAGGTAGTCAAAATTGTCCATGATAACAGCCACGAAGAGGTTGATGATCTGGAAAAGTCAATCAGGAGGGTGTTTCGGTGATATAATGGGAGGAATCCCTTACACTGCTGTCTGCCTCCTAACTACAGAGGCATGGAATATTGGAACCCACATTACAGAGGCAGGGCATAATGCTCTCTTACTGCAATGGTTAAGAAAAGAACAAGAGTCTGGCCAGATGGCTTGGCACGTGCTCAGGAGGGGGTAGGTGGGTGCATTAGCTGGTACCCTGAAGCACACTGTAATCGTATAATCCCACTGTAACTAGAGACAGCCCATGCTTCCAAGGCACTTAAAGCCTTGTGCAGTGGCTTTGAACTTTTTAGAAAGGAAACAGCAGCCCTCACTAGCAAGGTTGTCTGGAAATTACCCCCAGCCCATCAGTGAGCCCCAACTCAACCCGGATGGCTGTGACAACGTGCCGGATTAAGCACGTCTTGCCACCTGCCTGGTGGGTTCCAGAGTGTGCCAGCTATTTCAAAGCATTATGACGCAGCGCCGCTGATCTGAGCCCCATATGCTACCGAGGTTCTGTAAATGGGAAAGAGACAGCTCACCAGGAAAGCGCAGAGCATGTAAAAGCTGATGAAATAGACTATGGCGAAGTTGCTTCCGCAAGTGTATTCCTCTCCGGGGTTGTAGTCTGAGTCTGGGTCGCACAGCTTCCCCGGGAGGCAGGCAAGCATGATCTCCTGCCAGGCTTCCCCTGTGGCACACCTGTTTAATTGAAGAGAAAGGGGGTCAGTTGGGAAAGGGGCAAGGAAACGATGATCTAAACATCCGGGGAGAAGATCCATAACTTGAGTGAAATGTATGTAGCTGTAGCAATGCCATTTGGATTAGTGATAGTCTGTAAGCCCTACTTCCAGGTGTTACTTAGTAACTAGAGAGCCTGGTATAATAAGATTTATAAAAGTGCCTGGTGCAATTCTCTATCAAAACGGATGCTCATTTTCTCCTGCCTCTTCTTCAAAAGTCCTATTACAATTATTTAGTGATTAGTCTTGATTGATCTGGTTCAAAGGGAAGCGTTACAGTTACTAGAGTCGCCGGACATTGTTTCCTTGTTTCTAGAACGTTCTCTCAGTATGAGGAAGATTGTTTGCAAAGTTAATTAGCTGGGGGGTTAAAAACAATAGGATGTGAGCTTGTACGTCTTAGGGTGCTCCTCACTGGCTTTGCAGGGTGTGTCCATGTTTCCTCTGTGTTTCTGCTTTCCTTGCTGTGTTCTGGTGCACTCTTCCTTCAAGAATAGGAATCTATCCTACAATGTTTCGTTTTGTTTTTTCTTCCTGGTGGTCTAAATGCCAGCTGCAACCTGAATGACCCCAGAAGTTTTAACAAGTTCCTGTGTAACTGAAATGCTGCTTCTGTTTAGGAAGATAAAAAATCAGGGCCAGGGAGACAGGTCAGTCGATAAATGGTGCAAGCCCAATGACCCTGAGTTCAATCCCCAGAACCCATATAAACACTAAAGGCGAAGGCTGACTCCATAACGTTGTCCTCTGATCTCCACACACACACAGTAGCGTGTCCACCCACAAACATATACCACATTCATACATACATACATACTTACATACATACATATGCAATAATAATAATAATATTTAAAAAGATATAAGACAGCTGGTCACAGCAGAACATACAATCCCAGCATTTTGGGAGGCTGAGGCAGGAGGGATTGTTATGAGTTTGAGGTGAGCCTGGACTATAGACTGAGATCCTGTTTCAAAACAAACAAAACTAAATAAGTAACAGACACAGGACTACAATATCAAAGCAAACATCTACCAAGAGACAACCAGAAGAGCGTGCGTGTAAACCCCTGTCATTCAGAATTCTAGGAGTCCCGCCCTCAAGGACCCAGTCACCTGAAAAGCAGCAGCACCGCCTGGGGAAACGTCTGAAAGTTGTTGTTCCTGTTGATCTGGTTGTTATCTCTCATGGCAACTTTCCCAAACATCTAGATGAGGAAGTTATTAAAGGTGAAAAAGAATCAGATTTTTGTCATTATTACAGTTTGGATCTTTAATGTTCCCTCAGGTTAGCGTGGTTTGGCGCTTGTTCTCTAAGGGTTGCTTGTTCTCTAAGGGTTGCGTTGCTGAGAGGTAAAACTTTAAGAGGTGGGGCCTAGAGGGAGGTCCTTAGGTCGCTGGGGAGGTGTCTTCACAGGTGGGAAGCTGACATCCGTCCTCCCTAAGTAGTTTTGTTCCGTGATGCAGTTCTACCAGGGTGTCCTGCCTTGTCACAGGGCAAAGCGATGGGACTAGTTGATCGCTGATTAGGCCAACCTAGACTGCGGGCCATAACGAACACCTTCTCTTTGTAAGTTAATTATCTCCAGCATTTCAGTGTGGTCACGAAATGCTGACTAGCGCCATCGTATGAAAAGACTCGAGATTTCGGAACTGAGTCGGGACTTTCTTAGGATGACACCTGGCACTCTCCGTACCCTGCACGGATCTGCCAGGCACAGCACTCGCCGGGCACTAGGCTGAATGTCAGGAGTGCAGTGTCTCAGAGAGGCCCGTTCTCACCCCGCAGGAGCCTCTGCCTCGAGACTACAAGGGTGATCAAGCAATGGCAAGGAGACACACGGAGTACGGGGTGATCCGACCCCACAGAGAACAGGGAACAGGCCCATTGACCCAGCACTAAGGAAATGGGACCCAGAAGACCTCCAGAGGTGGTAGTGCATAAGCCTAGAACTGAAGGAGAAGCTGCAGGCAGGCAGGTGACAAAGGCGAGTTTTCCAGACAGAGGGAACGCCCCTTGGAAGGAGCACAGGTGTCGTGAGGAGTGAAGATGAATGGAAAAGGGAGAGATGACTGATTTACTGGAGACAAAGGGGATGGGGAGGGGCCTCGTGGGCTTGGCTTCCCCAGCAAGGCTTTTCTGTTGGGATTATGGGGCAGACGGACATTTTAGAAGGTCTTGGGTCCTGGGAAATGCCTGCTATGAGAACCTGGAGCTGGGTGTGCAGGGAAGTCGGCAGATCCCTGAGCTACCTCTGTTCACAAGGACACAGCATCGTCGCATGTCATTCAGTTAGAAGTCACCTGGTATGGTGACTCTCGTCTTATAACTCTCAACAAAACTCCTACAAGTACTTCTATGCCTTCAGGACAATAAATAAACACAACGTCTCTCTGCCTGGAATCACCGCACCTCTCTCTAGTCAGAACGATAACATTTCTACAAATGTAGATAATTTTCCTCTGACTCCCGGTACCCAGAGCTGTTCATTGCCTTCCAGCTACCCCAGGGTGTTAGGACCCAGCTGTCAATGAGGGCCCCAAACCTTTCCCAACCCTGGAGCACATGCTCCAGACTCTCGGCCTAAGAGCCTGGGTCCCTGCCTCTCTCCTAACCACAGCATCTGGAAATGCTTGAGGACGCCGGTGTGACAAGGCGTAATTCTTCAGAGCATCAGCAGGCATTTGGGCTGAGTATCGTCAGTGCAGAGCACATGACCTCCACTCTGGTGACTGGGGCACCCTCCTCTCTCGCTGGTGTGCCTATGGTATCCTGCTGTTCGGGTCCACCACAGGCCTTCCCATCTAGTCCACTCTCCCGAGACACGAGTGCAAGTGTCGGCAGGGAGGAGGGCTAGCGTAACAGTCTCCCGCTGCACCTTGAACTCGACACCCTTTGGGGCCTGGTTTCACCCGGCACCAGTTCTGTCTTGAGAGTTCAAGCCCATCCAAGGGGCCATAATGTTCTCATCTCCTCAGTACCCAAAACACCAAGACCTCGTCTTTCTACTTCACCTGGCCTAAGTAAGTAGAGACCCGGAGACCACCTTGCAAAGGGTTCTGTGAGGGAGAAGCAGCTGCCACTCACCTGCATGCCGATGACCGCATAGATGAAGAAGAGCATGGCGATGAGGAGGGCGACATATGGTAGTGCCTGCAAGAGACAAAGAATTGGGCTTGGTGGGTGAGGACAACACCCGCCTGTGTGCCTGCTCATAGAGCGTCAGTCCTGGAGATCCAGGCCCCTGTACTCCTAGGGTTACAAAGTGTCGGCAGTCAGGGAGTGCTTGCCAAGCCCATTATTACCCTGTGCTAACTGGAAACATTTTCCATACAGACACATAGATCCCAGTGAGTATGGAGTGTACTCCGCATCCTTCAGGAAGCTGTAATTGACCAAATCATTCCAAAATACCAGATGCCCCAATTGCTTCCATTTCCTCTGTATCTGGGGTGGGGGTTGGGGTGCAGTTGTAGAGGAGCCGAGAAACCTCTTTATGCAAAATTGCCTTGATTCTGGGTTTCCTTAGGAAAGGAGCTTTAGGAGGAGAATTACTGAGTCAGGGTGTCAGAAAGCATTTCAGAATGCAAAGCACTTTAAAATGTATCATTGGTGAGACGTTTTATGAATGCATTTCTTACAGTCAAAGAGACTGAAAGTTTTACTAGACCTCACAGTTAATACATCTTGAGATCACTTGGTCTTTAATTCTGTGCTGTGTCCTCAGCCTGTTTGTTTAACCTCTCTTTAAGATAACAATGTATCAAGTAACATTACTCGCCTTGGACTTCCCACATAATCGGCTTTTACAACCTAAGATAACACATAACTATGACAGGTTATATATTCTTCTAGGCTCCTAACCCAAAAAGCAGCGCATGTGTGTGGTGTTATAGTAATTAATATTGAAACAGAAAATAGGTTGGAAGCAATCTTATACAACAAGTATATCTGCCATAAACGTTGAAATCAGCATACAGGTAAAACTAGATAATGGCGTGTTTGCAGTTATTGAGTGCTTTGGGATCTGGTGCAAATAACTCAATCTCTTGTAAAAAACTCTGTTTAAAGATTTCTGCAAAGTATCCCTCATTTCTCCTGCATGTGATGCTTTCTATGCTGCTCAATACAGAGCGGAGTCCTTTCTTAGGGACAGTCAGACAGCAGTCAGTCTTAAGGATGACAAGACACGGGGACAGACCAGTTATATATACAACCGACAGACGGCAGACAAGCCAGCAACTACAAACTACAGACAGAATGCAGACAGGGAGAACTGTGGAGACTTCAAACTTGGGGTCATTCTTGGTCAAATTAATCCAAGGGGAATCCTGAGCTTTACTTTCCCTACTGTGACTCAGGTTCATTTTGGTGCATCTGAGGCTGTCTTTAAAGCTTTTAACTTAGCCAGGCGCTCCTCTGAGAAGAACCACAAAGTCAAGGGGCCAGGACCAGGATGAAAAGAAGGTAGCCGTGTAGTCACCAGTTCCTTTTAGCGGAAGCACCCCAACAAGTCTATGTGCCTGGCAAGAAGACTGGAGTCCTTTCACGCATGTTTCTAGATGGCTTTTCTCCATCACCACATATGACGAACATATCTATGGGTATGGTGTGCCTCCAGCACCGCCTAGGCTGTTGGGCTTAATTCCAAGCACACAGGACCAAAGCAGCCCTTTCTCACCTGTCTAAGGAAGTGCATCAGAAAGCTGGCAGGCCAACTACAGGCCTGGGGCTCTGTCGCCTGTGGCCTGGCCCACTGCTGCAGGTGGATCGCTTACTGGCATTCTATGTGGCTAGTCTCACCACAAGAGCTCTCCACATTTTCTCCCTAGACATCCAGATGTTTGAGGACTGGGCTGATACAGTGTTGCAAGACAAATCACTACTCTGTCACATGGCTCCTTTATCTACTGTTTTTTTTTTAAGTTTAATAGTTTCTTCAAGAAATAGGGTTGTCTTGCATGAATGCATTCCATTATTCTAGTAACCCATCTCTGGAGCTTGGCACACTTGACCATGGAGGATCGCAGGGCTTGGCTACACTCAGGTTCTCCTGTCTAGGGTACTGGCCTTGTCTGTCTCTGAGCCATGCCTCCATTCCTCAGTCTCGATCCTCCTCAGCAGGACTGTGATTTCCTTTCTGTGAGCTTTTCGTCTCCCTACACACTGTCTCTCCCCCTTTCCCCTACTCACTGTAAAATAAGTAATAAATACATCACTATTATTACTTGAATTTTTTTACTACTTATCTCAGAGGTGGTGAGTGGCAAACTTGAATTTTCCTTTTCTTTATATAACTTCACTGGCTCCCATGAACATTCCACTCATGGATGACACACAGCTAATGGAGGAGAGGAGACGCACGGCTCACGCTCTGCAAGGTTTGCGCCTGCTCATGGGTCACCCGCATGGCTGCACCTTTAATCACAAATCTCTGTCTGCTCCTCGCCCTCCACCAGCTCTGCCTAGAAGAGCGTCATGTCTACAGCAGGGTGCCAGAAGGTGCGAGAGAAGCTGGTTCTCCTGGGGGGGGGGGGGGTCTAGCACCAACAAGAGGAATCGCAGGTGTCCAACGCGGCCTGGTTGAAACCTAAATGGACTGAATCCCCCCCCATCCATGAAGCACTCATAACCCAGTGAAGGCAGAGAACCCATCTAAGGGAGAGGCTGTGTGGTGGTGTTGAACGAGAATGGTCCGCATAGACTCGTTCGTTTGTTTGAATGCTGATTCCCAGGGGAAGACTAGGAGGTGTGGTCTTGTTGGATGAGGTGTGTGTCCCTGGGTGTGGGCTTGGACCTAGTTGCTGTGCCTGTCTGTCTGTCTGTCTGTCTTCTCTCTCTCTCTCTCTCTCTCTCCTTCCCTCCCTCCCTCCCTATAATGTGAAGATAAGATATGAGCTCTCAGCTACTTCTCCAGCACCCATGCCTGCTATCCGCTGCTATCCCGCTGCCATGCCGACCATGAGACTGCAGACAAGCTCCAGTTGAGGGCTTTATTTTATAAGTTGCCTTGGTTATGATGTTTCATCCCAGTGCTATAACAGTGACTAAGACAAGGCTGACAGGTTTCGGGGAATGTGTAGTGAGACCTTCCCTCTCTCAGACACCACGGTTGCTGGACGTCCTGGGCCATCAAAAGTTCTGGAAACTTACATTTCTTCCCATCTGGAAAATGCTGCTGACCTCTGAGTTTCAGTGTCTTCTTTCTGCCTTTCGTGTCCTACTCGGTTTATCCAAAGTAGTGCTGGTGTCGTCCCCTCCGGCATCCCACAGTCACTACCGACCCAGCGGTCACTCAGAGGGAGCTGGGGGGGGGTCTTCCAGGACAGACGTCAATCCCTGACTCACACACGCCCCCAAGGACAGCAAGGGACAGTCGCGGGTACGGCTGCTCTTACCTGGAAGGACTTAATGAAAGTCCACAGCAGAGTCCGGATGCCTTCGCCCCTGCTGAGAAGCTTCACCAACCGCATCACTCGGAAAAGACGGAAAAAGGTGATGGAGATTCTATTGCTCTCTTCAGAGTTCTGAAGGGTTATCATGGAGAGGTCAAACCCAGTGGGAAGCAGAACATGCAAACACTTTCAGAAAAACAGCAACAGACGCAAAGGTGGCAGAGGTAAGGTCTGGAGATGTGTTTCTAGGGCCCTTTTTCACCTCAGAAAGCATGACATGAAAGGAAGAGAGACATGCTAACAACACAGGGCTTGGGGGGGCGGAGACTGCATCCACACGGCACATGCAATGTCCACGTGTTCTACTGTGTTAGAGGAGAATGTTGGGCCTGCTCGAGAGCACTGGACACTGATGACGAATGCAAACCCTGCAGACACTGTTCTGGAAGGACAGTCATGGAGAACACAGAACACCAGTCAAATAAACTCGGGGAGAAGGCCCAGCCCCCTGGGGACGGTCACTGATCTTACCCCTGGAGTAGCGGTTGGGAGAGGGAGACTTTCACTTTCAGTTGGCTTTAAGAGATCAAAGATTGAAATGTGTTAATGAAGGGGGAAGGGAGCATCAGCTCAGTTTCCCCCGTTTTTACCGGTGTGCAGTTAGTGTCTCTGGTCAACACCGTTGCTCCCTCCCTGAGAAAAACACCAGGGCTTCATTCTAGAGCTGGACTGGAGGTGGGGGACGGCCACTGGCAGACACACAGACACACTATCCTAGGCTGGGTTCCTCCCAGGGATGTGAGGTACCGGTACCGGGCAACTGGCTAGTCAAAGATTATGGTACGGACCTCAGCAGCCTCTAAAGACAGGCTCAGAGGAACCTCCGCTTCTCTGGCTCAGTCAAAGGAGCTGACCTCCTGCAGCAGGGCCTTCCAGCCCAGAGTAACTCTAGTCTGGGGAGGGGGAAGGGAACCAGTGGCTCTGCCTGTGGTCTCCACACATGGCGGTCCGTTTGATCAACGCCTCTGCTGGCAGGCCTGGTCAGTGGAAGGGACAGAGGCAGGCTTCTCGCCAGCCACCTGCGCTGCTTGGTCTGAAGTTCAGCCTGGCCCCAGTCAGGCAAGCACTCCAGTTTTCAGGACTCTGGGAGAACATGGTAGGGCTGAGCCCCAGCAGCTCTGCCTCACTCAGGTCTGACCATGGGCCTGGTGACGGGGCCTCGTAGCACACCAAGGAATGGTGCTCATTGGTTTGCTCTCACCTTCGCCAAGGGCTTAGCCCTTTCTTAACTCCACTCAGTGCTCACCCAGGACCTTAGGGAGCTGCTTAAGAAAATCCAAAGACGCCCACCGGGGGCAAGTCTTCCCTACCAGGAAGTAACAATATCAAGGATGGAGGAAGGACGGCCTCCTGTCTCTCTGTCACTGTCACTTGCAGTGAGACTGCATGACTCCCAACCAAGGCTCCCCGGGGCACACAGTAAAACAGTGCCTGGGAGGTGAGCGGATAGCTTCTAGATGATTCCTCCCCTGGGGACATGGGGGGGAGAAAGGCTTGATTCTTATGCTGATTCCTGGGTTCAAAGAGAAGGATTCTTTGGCCTCAGTGAGAGAAAAATGGGTTTGGATACACTGGACGACGACTGTAATTCAGCAGCGACTCTGGACCCAGGGACAGGTCCTGATCACCAGAAAGGGCTCTCGTCCACCCGATGGACACTCAGAGCAGGATCTCTGCCATGGGCATGTCAGAACTCGGGGTCCATCAACTTGTTTAGTCCTTTTACCACCTCACCCCAGAATTAATGATGTATCTTTAAAGGGATGAGGTATTTGCTTTGCTTTTTAATTAGACAGGGAATGGTGGGGAGGGTCTCATGTACCTTGGATTGGCCTCAAAATCTACTCCCTCTGTTTCTGCCTCTCAAGTTCTGGGGTTACAGGTGTGAGCCACTGGGCCTAGCTTAGATCATGGGGTTTTTTTGTAATTGTTGTCCCCAAATCACTCTCCCCTAAGGACTGTGGAGAGGAGGCTTCACTCTTGCCCCCGCAGCTAGCTAGACTGTGCACATGTGAAAGTGTGTGTGTGTGTGTGTGTGTGTGTGTGTGTGTGTGTACAGCTCCACTTGTCCATGCTCAGAGGACTGGACAGGGCAGAGCAGAGCCCTCTACAGCTGTGTCACTAAAATACACACGTGCGGGGTCTGTAGGAGCAGAGAAAGCCTCCAGCCTGTTCTCTCTGGCCGCCCTCGTCTGCTTGCTCCTCTGTGTTGCTCCGTGATGAGGTCAAGTTATGATCCTCCTCCTTTGGGCTGGTAAAAGTTGGCTAAATTGGCTTCTGAAATGTGTGTCTTTTTAAGCGTGTCTATCCGAAGGATGACAATCGTCAAATCTTAATTAAGTTCAAATCCACTCCACAGCTGCCTCCAGCTCCCACGTACTGGAATTACAGGTGCAGACCACAACATCTAGCCAAACTGTTTTTCTTTCTTTCTTTTTTTTCTTTTTGGAGGGGGAGGAGAGGAGACAGCATTTGTCAGGAGACAAAGCAGTGAACCACACAACCCAGGAAGGAGAGAACAAAGCACTTCAGGCTTCATGCACCCCCCAGAGTGGCCTGAGACAGCACGGGCCCCGCCACACACTGCAGGGCAGGAAGGGCTGCTATGGGGGAAGATGTAACTGGACATCAATGGGAGGGGGGCACGCAAGTTGACAAAATAGCTTCCAAACTGGAAGGCCCCTAGAATGGCTTTGCTGATCCTGGGTCGCACGCTAACGCCACCAATGCCCACGTGCCACCCGAGTTGTTTGCTAAACTGATCGGGGTCCTTCCGTACTTCAGGAACTTTGAAAGCCACAGAGCTATTCTAATATGCTGTCAGAGTGGAGGGTCTTGGTCCTTAGCCCACAGAGATACTGGACCAAGCGTTTAGCAGACAGCTCTCGGCAGCGGGGTAGTGGTCACAGAGAGTAGAGCCACTAGAAAAGCCCACATGGGCTGACACAGCTGAGCAGAGCCTCGGGAGGCCGGCCTGGGATCAGAATCTGGATGCAAGGGGATTGAACTCCACCTCTATCTTCTTTCTAAGGGATAGAGGGGCGCTGGGAACGAATGGGTAGAGGATGGGCAAGGAGCATTTGTGACCTGGCCCTGTGCTCAACTTTTTAGATCGCCCATGAAGAACACTGCAGGGCTGGAAGCAGGCTAAGGCTTGCTCCCCATGTGCCTTTCTTTCCAAGAATGGCCTCGAGGGCCTGGGTGACCCACGTTCAATAGGATCCCACTATCGCCTGAAGGTTTGGGACAGAAGGCTTCAGCAGCTTCTGCTATCGCAAGGTCATGTCCCTCCCTCAGCCCGGTCCCCGGCTACCTCAACATGGAGTTGAGAGCTAAACCGAGAGCCTCGCTGTGACTACAAACTGCACGAGCCGGCAGAGGCAGTGTCTAGGTCGGGCACGGGACAAGGCGGCGGCAACTCTCAGGATCTAGGAGTGAGCCCCCTAGTGCCACAGTTTCTAGGCAAGAGGGCGCTCTCTCTCTCTCTCGGGCAACAATGGGATGGAAAAAAGACTGAATGCCAGCAACAGCCGTCCCTGGGCCAGAAAAGTTGTTGCTTGGCCATTTCAGAACTCGAGGAACAAACAGGCATCAAAACAGAAAAGCAAAGTAAGTCCGTCAGGTGCCACCCATCATTTCAGCAGCTTGGTGACGTTATTACAACCAAAGGTGAAGGGGACAGGACCAGGAAAGCCAGCACACACCATGAGCACGCAGGGTGGGAGCACGCAGGGACGGAAAGACGGGAAGGGCCAGGTGAGCATGCGAACAGGACGATGCAAAGGGCCATCAAAAATTTGTTGTTGTTGTTGTTGCAAAGACTGCAAAACAAGCTAAGAGTCCTCATTTTTCCCAGGCCACATCGTTCGCCGTGGAAGGCCATGTTGGCAAGCCACATGGCCAATGTGACTGACCAAGGAAGCCCGAGCCCAGGCCCCGGTTAGGGACAAGGACATATGGGAGAAGAAACGGTTCAGGTGCCCATGGATGATCCTTAGCGAGTCCTGCGAAACTCAGTGAAACACCCAAGGTGGGAAGCAGAAACCGGAAGTATACAGTCTCTAGAAGCGCTTTTGCCTAATGACTTCACCGTATATATGATTATATATACTTGCCGCTACAATTTTCTAAAAATAAAACCAACACGAAAAACCAATTAGGCAACAGAAAGGGAAGATCAACAGAGTCTGGGGGGGAGAGAGAGCACAGCAGGTTAAACATCATAAAACATGATGATGATGATGATGATGACGGCAACTCAAACCAGACAACAATGGGCCAAGGGTGTTCATGCTGTTGACTTTGGACATCAGGAGACAAGGCTACCGGAGATGAGATATGCACTGCTCTCCTTGGGAACTGTGTGTATATGGAAGGGTGTGTGTGTGTGGGGGGGGAATAAATATTTCCATCCCAGAATATTTGTAACATTAGAGAATGAGAAGTTTCTTCTGGTGTGTTTCGTTTCGTTTTGTTTTTTTTTTTTTAAATCATTGATTATTCCCAGAGCCTAGCTCCAGGCCTACAAGAGGTAGATGCCCAGTAAAACTGGTGAAGAACAGAATCAATGAGCAAGGAGTATAATAACCTTTGTGTCAAGGGACAGGGGACAAACACGGATCTCTATAGGTAGCTCAGGGTGGGGGGCTGCCAAGGCCAAGACTAAGGAGCGCTTGGTCTCAGAACACAGCTAGCCAGGGAACTGCCACTGACTGGCGGCACATTTGAGAACTGGGAATATTCCCCAGTGTGAGCCTCCAACAAGAGCTGGACATCACGGAAGAGGCCTTGCACAGACACTTGACACAAACTGCCAACTAGACACTCAAGCCTAGACCTCCCTCATCCACAGGGAAGCAGGACCGCCCCGAGGCACTGACAGGCAAGGCCAGGCCAGGGTTTAAGAGTAGGGCCAGCTTCCAGTCCACGAAGCAGGTGTTGCCTCTGAGTGTACCAAGTCACACGAGCTGGCCAGCAGGCAAGCAGCATGAGAAAGCTGGGTGGCTGATGAACGCGCTTCAGCTACATCCTGGTACCCAGAAAATAAGAGTTTATGACCTCTGGCTCACAGCACCTAAAACGTCTGTTAGGACAACAGTTTAGGGTATGTCAATATCTGTCCTAGGTTGTTTCTGATCCATGGGAGGTTCCTCGGCACACGTCATAAATCCTTCACATGCCTTGAGGTGATTAAAGCAGTCACCGGTCATGCCACGTGAGAGCCAAGGTAGGGTCCTGCTTATGTTGCACCCAAACGCCATTTACATATCAGGAATGGCAGTTTTATAGCTGCCTGTGGAATATGTCTCGTAAGGCTGAATTAGATTATCTAAGTCTCGGCTTAAGGAGGTTGGGGATGTGTGTACTCAGGCCAGGCCTAGTGAAATGTCATCTTAGTATTGGCATGGCACCAGGATGGACTTGACAGTTCTCAGCCCTGCCTATGTCAGCCAGGCAGAGCAGGGCACTGGGGTGGCGGGAGGCGGCCCCGGGCTGGCAACACAGAGCGAAAGCCGACACCATGCAAAAGGCACTTCCCCAAGCTCCGTTTACCCGCCTTTAAGGACATGCGCACTGGCGTCCACTAGAGCCTGCCTGTGAACTCGATACAGGCCAACAGACAGGGCCCCTGACTGCCCGCCTCTGGCCTTCACTTGAGGAAGCTGCTGCTCCCCCTCTCCAAATCTGAAGCTCGAGTCGTCAGACTGCCCGCCCGCGGTCCATCTGCTACGCACGTGCCCCCTCTTCAAGAATAGACTGCACGTGACAGAGAGGGCACCGGATCTCTCCTGACACACACCAGCATCACTCTTTGGGGATTAAGGGCCAGCGTCACCATCTGGACTCAGAGCATACTCAAAGCCAGGAGGACAGCGGCAGCAACCATCTTAAAGCCAGGTATGGCTGGAGGCATCTTCCGTGCCTCCCAGAACAATGTGGGTACCAGGTACACACCACTAACTATAGATGGAAATACTGAGGCACAAAGCAGTCAGGAGATCAGCTGGATACCCAGCTAGAGAGCCATGGTGCCCTTAAGACTTGAGTACAATTGTTTGGGTCTCCGTTGCTTTAGGGGAGATGGAGATAGGACAAGGGACGGGAGACGGCAAATTGACTCTCATCTCTTAAAATGAATTAGTGCCTGCAACTCTTATGAGCATTGGAGATTCACGGGTGGGCCTTCTAGTCTCTTCTACGCCAGGCTTAACGAAAACAATCACGTTAAAGGACACAAAGTTTGCTACTTACATTCACTTCAGTTATAGCAATATCAACGACGCTACCCACAACAATTAAGGCATCAAAAGTGTTCCATGCATCAGTGAAATAGTGCTGTTAGGCAAGCATTCAGAAGCCACAGAGGACAGGAAGCACAACAGGAAAAAAAAAAAAAAAAGAAGAAAAGGACAGCGTTAACAATATGCCATTCGACTGCCTGAAAAATTGCCCCAAGACAAACATGTCATAGATACGCCACTTTGGGTGGATTTTGACAGAGCAAATGGAACAACCAGAGACACCCTATCTTACCTTGCCCTACTAGTGCCTGGGGTCAGTGGTGCCAGAGAGCCAGCCAGCCCTGCAAAGGTGGTTTGTGTCTGCAGAGGCCTTGGGCTCAGGCTCTACTCTAGAAGGTTCTTTCCCACAGCCTCAGTGGGGGAAATGCCTGGTTTCCAACCAAGTGTTAACTGGGATCTGTGACTTGTCCAGGTGATGCCACAACAAGGCAGGGAGCAGAATGAGCAGAGGGAGAGGAGAGAGAGAGGAGAGAGGACGCAGGCCACACGGGTGCATACTTACGTCGGCTTCGCTGAGGGCCACGTCTATAATGCTGCCGATTACGATGAGGGAGTCAAACGTGTTCCAGGCGTCACTAAAATACCCCTGGACAGAGCAGGCAGGGCCAGATGTTTATGAGCACTCACGAAGGGAACATCACATGGATCATTTGAGGGGACACATCCAAGTCCCCTCAGCACCCATAGCAACCAGGGAGAGGGTCAGGGAAGCCAAAGGGGAGACAACAATACTGTCTACTGGTGGAAAGGGGCACAGAGGGGGTGGTTGTGCTCCTGTGTGTGTGAGAGAGGGCATGAGTAAGGATGGGTGCGTGCACACACACACACACACACAGACACACATAGACACATACATACACACATACACCCCGCAGACAGACAGACGGATGGACACACACACACACACACACAAACCACACAGACAGACAGATGGACGGACACACAAACACATCCCCCAGACAGATGGACGGATACACACATACACATGCCCCACAGACAGACGGGAGAACAGAAAGACACACACACATACCCCACAGACAGACAGACGGATGGACACACATACACACACACCACAGACAGACGGATGGACGGGCACACACACACCAAAGACAGATGGATGGACACACACACACACACATACCCCACAGACAGACGGGAGGACAGACAGATGGACACACACACTTACACACACACCATACACACACATACACACCCTGCAGACATATAGCCCTGGGCAGACAGAGGATAACCCTGTCCTGATATGCCGAGTGTCTACCTCAAACCCTCATGAGCTGAGGGAAGAGTGAGGCTCCTCCGTACTTCCAAGAGTCTCCAGCTGCCCTTGATTTCTGTTTTCTGACCTAAATCCACCAGATTGGCAGTCCCCCCTATCCTCACTAGTCTAGCAAAGACAATAGGCCATGTGTGGCAGCAGGATTCCCAAGAACTCTTGGTCTTAGGGACACTCATCTAAAGGCCATAGCTTATAGGAGACAGACATAGAGATGCACAGAGCCTCAGGGTAGGGCCCTGGGCAGAGAAACTCTCGGTTGTGGAGTAAAGACACGCCAAGGCAGGGTCTGTGGGGACAGCACCGAAGGCTGAAGAGGGTGCTTCGAGGATCCCAGATGACCAGTGGCCTCCTTCTACCGCGACCCTTGTAAGTGGATTCCTCTACATCCCTCAACATCCTCCCTGGCTCTTCCCAATCTTGGGATGCCTCTGCAACCTCCCCGGCCTTAATCAGCCCAAACCCACTCCCTCCTTTGAGCTTAGACAAATGCTAGCTCCTTCGTGGTGTTTTCCAGGTCCTTCTGTCTGTCTCTCTTCTTCTATCACAGTGACTGCACCTTCTCACGCCTTCACCCAGGAGCTCTACCACGCCGAGGCTTTCCAAGGACTGGGAAGCGTAGCTTTTTTCCCCTGTTATCACCTCCACCAACCCTGTCAGTCACCCAGAGCCTTGAACTCAGTCAATGTTTGAGACACTGTCACATGTCTTTCTCCACAAATTCATACCCTGGTTCTCAGCTGTCAGGTCCTATCTTGTGTCGGTTCTAACGTACTTGTGACTTGCAAATTTAGATGCATGTTCTGTGTGGTTTATGCCTTCGAGGAACCATCACACTAGAGGGTTCTCAGCTGGCCAAGCAGAGACAAGACAGGCGCCCCCCCCCAAGGTACGGACTTGGGACGTGAAACGTGGGGTCAGGGGCAGAGTAGAGAGCTGACCCCAGGGTACAAGAGAGCCTTCTGCTCCCTTCCCAAGGCACACCGGGCAACCGGGTCACAGGGTGCCTCCAGCGTCAGGGCTCTCTCTCTTAAAGCATTCATACTGCCGCAAGTGAGTAACAGCAGTTCTCTAACTGGCGGCATCATCACCGCAGACTCTGCTGACAGACAGGCCCTTCCCTCTTCTTTACAGACGCCCCTGCGGGGGGGGGGGGGATGTATGTATCCCTCAATCCGATGCTAAGACTACAAAGCACTCAGAGTGCCAAACACCGAGCCCCCTCCCCCTTCCCTCCCTGCACTACACACCCTGCTGTTCTCATCTTGCCTGATGGGTCCTCAGGAGGTCAGCCCTACCTCGTGTGTGTTGCGCAGCCTACCATGACCAGCATCCCTACTCTGAGCCATTCCGCCATCTGTGTATAAGATACTCTTCATGGAGCCTTTCCTGGTATACTGCGGTGGGTAAAATCCCTTAGAACCAGCGAGGAACTTTTTTGGAAATCCGACAGACTAAGGAAATCTTCCATGGTTCCAACATGGTACCCAAGTACCTACAGTAACGGACTTAAAGGTTGACTTCCCTTGTCTACAATACAGGAGGGTCTCATGGCATGAGTGGTTGGAGACAGAGGCTCTGGCCAGGTGGCTCTGACAGTCCCCGGGGAGGCGGAAATGTCCGGCGTCCCTGTCTTCCCACACATTGCTGCCCTGCTTAGCAGCCTCTTATTTAGTGAAATCACTGCCGTGGCAGCATGACTCAGCTCCGGCACTCTTCCTGCACTGAAGATACCATGGTTCCTCACCCAGGCCCTTCCCCGCCTACCCTTCCCGATGAAGGAGCGACACACTCCTCTATAACTGAACTGGGAAGCCAGGACCTCTCAAGGGAAGCCAGCAACCAAATCTTTCCCCCCTCCCTCCTTTCCTTTCTTCCCCTCTACCTGCCTGCAAAGCACTAGTCAGTCAGCCACACGTGTTTCTGACTCTGACATCTAATTTAATAGTGCTAGTTGGTTTGTTTTTCTGTGTTTTTTTGTTTGTTTTGTTTTTCTGTGTAGCCCTGGGCTGTCCTGGAATTCACTCTGTAGATCTCTAGTTAGTTTTAATTGTCTGGCTCACATGAGAGGAGAATCTCAATGAGGAATTATCTGGAATAGCAACGCTGGCAAGCCTGTGGGCAATTTTCTTAACTGAGCTAACTGAGGTGGGGAAGCCTGTCCTGGACGTGGGTGATGCAGGTAGTACCATTTCAAGGGCTGGGTCCTGGAGGGTGTAAGGATAGAGAGGTAGCCTATTGACCTGACCCGCAAGGACAGAGGGACCCTCAACAGCTGCTTTGTGAGAGAACACTCTCACTGGGCTTGGCTAGCGTGCGTCAACGGGAAGAATGGGCTTCAAAGGCCAGGCAGGACTTCAGGGAGAGCACTATGTCTTGATGACTCCATTCTCCTCCCATTGTCTGGCACAAAGTCATATAAGCCACCCCAGCAGCACCGCTATTCAAGAGCAACGACGCTGCTGTTATTGTAATGGTTCTCTGGGTTATAATTTGAGGTCACCTCAGGCCGTGAAAATATCTTGCTGAGTAAATCTTCAAAAGCGGTGCACTTGTTGGTAGAGATCACCCCATCTAAATGCTCTGATCCAGGAGCACTGATTGCAAATTAGCCCCTGAGGTGTAAGTGTTTTTACCTATCTGCTCACACGGCACTGGGCACCCCTCCCAGGCTTGGAGACTCACCGGGCCAGGCAATGTGCAGCGAGCCATTGAGGGGTATGTGCACAGACACACACTCTCATGTACTCCACACACACACACACACACACACACACACACACACACACACACACGGCACACATGTATGCACACAAACAGACACACACTCTCAGGTGATCACACGCCGTGGGGTGAGTGTGTTCTCAGCCTGGACAAGCTTTGAAAGAACGTCAGAGCTTGACGACCAGGCACAGGAAGACACGGCACCAAGTTTCTGGGAAACGTCCCTCGGGCTGTTCCACGCGCGTCTCTCGAGAACGCGCCGCGTTCTGACTCTGCAACCTTTCCCATCAGCTCAGACAAATATTGTTCAGAGAAGCAGAGGCGGAAGAGAAAGCAAACCAAAGTCCCCAAGGAGGCTCTGATGAATTTGGAAAAAGAAGGGGAATGTGTATGTAGGTAGGTATGGACAAGTCACAGCACGTAACATCTGGCCATGCTTAAGGTGCCAAATTTGAACCCACTGCAATCGCCCACCCAATTAATCACTTACAAATGTCCTTTCTTTTTGGTCCACAAAGATCCGATTAAAGATTGCCCAAGAATTACTTCAAAGTAAAGAAAGGAACGGGCTGGGAATTCAAATTCTGAATAACTGTAGAGTGTGTGAACCCAACCATTTCTGAGGTTGCACCGTATTTTCTGGACACCTGCACGCAGAGTACAAACACTATGCACCAGGCTCTGTCATTCTCTCTTCCGAGAGCTGAGGTCTGTGTTAACCCTTGGGGAAGGCTCCCCCGCCCCAAGTCAGCTCCTCTCTGCTCCTCAGTCTAGGGCTTCAGAGTGAAGGAACACCATTGCTTATAGGCAGCGGCGTTGCTGTAATGGTGGCAGTCGCAGTCTCCAGCATGGTTCTACATGCCAGGCCCCCTTAGAACACTGAATGGAGTAAATCCTTACTTTCCACAATAGCCCCCACAACTGGACTATGAGTACCCTCACAGAACACATGAGGGAAAGAGGGGCACGGGGCGGTGAAGTAAGTTGCGACGGACTGAGGATCTGGTTTCAGATGTTTCACTGTTGTGTTCTTTGATGCCAAGCCACACGACGGCTCGTGACACCACAAGCCTCTGGGCTTTGTGGGCCTGGGCTGACTTCCTCCCAAAGAGGGCACAATGCGGCCATTCCTTCAACATAGTGTAACATAGTTCACGCCACATCTTCTTACAAACAGTGGAACTTTTCTAAATCCAACAGACCAAAGATGGTGTGGCGGCGAGAGGAACCGGAACTTTCCATAAAAGGGAAAAAGGGAAGCTATAGAGCAGCAACACATAGGAGCTGTCTTCAAGCTAGAAATCTCGGAGTGAAATCAGGGTCACTCTTCCTGATGATTATCAGACACTCCCCCGGTGCTCAGATAATGAGTTACATTTTCCTGAGACAACACCAGACGCCACTCAAAATCAGAAAACCAGGTTTCACGGTGAAAATTCCCACTTCTCTCCTCTCCTTTTCTCAGAATTCTTTTCATAAGCTTTTGGTTTTGCATATTTATTTTCCCATGTGTAGACAGATGTCCTAATCAGATTTTAATGTTCTCAGATGGCAACCAACTTAGCTACAGTCTAGCATAATTCAGCAACACGAGGCTAAAAGGAAGCAGGTCCTTCTCTAGGGCAACTCAACAACAACCTTTGCCAAGCAGACCCGGCAGCTTACCTTGGGCTTAAACGCAATGACTTTCAAAACCATCTCGACAGTGAACACCCCCGTGAAGACCATGTTCAGAATGTCCATGGCATCATTGAACATCTTGGACTGCTCGTAGTGCTGTGGATAAAGACAAAGGAACCGCTGTAAAAATGTCATGATCTCACACCCTCGCGACGGGAGGTCCCTGCCACCTGCACCCTGGGCAGGGGGTGGGGCATTTCCCACCCTCCAGCACAGCATCCTCTCCAAGAAGTTCAACCCAGTACTGCAAGGCCATACGATGAACTTCCAGAAAGCACAGGAGGTGGGTGTTCATAACACCATGAGGATGATTGGACGATGGAGGAAACAGCATGCCCATTCTTTCAGACCAAGGTAAGGGGGGGGGTCACCCTCTCTCTGTTGGGAATGACGCTCAGGTCCTTGACTAACACACTGAAGATACCACCTAAATGTCTATGGATAAAGGTAGAATTTGATTAGTGCTAAATCATACACTGCTTTTTTTTTTAAGGTTTATATCTTATTAAAGGAGGTGTTACCTAGGCGTTACACCTTCCCCTAGATCAACACACAGACCTTTTCATTTTTAACTTTAAGAATGCGTCTGAATATGTGTGTTTGACTACGGACCTGTCTCCACAAAGAACTGATGGTTTGAACTGCGTTAAGTTCTTCATGCCTGGGAGAACCCTGCCTATGGAGCGTGGCTCTTGCTTTCTGACCTAGCGTCATATCCGACCATCACTGCTGAGAGATTGTCAACACTACTCTGCATTTGACTTGGCCAGGGTCAGCAAGGAGTTACTATAATTCGGGCCCATTATTTCAAAAAGCTAAGAAATCTTGCACTACTACTGGGAGCCCCTTGAGGACAGAAATGTAACTTGGGTTTTCCTTTTCACCACTGAGAGCCACTGGGACAGGTCCAGACCAGAGTCCAGACGCAGGGACCAGAGAGATGGCTCGCAGGTCAAGAGCGCTTGCTCTCACAGAGGACCTGGGTTGGGTTCCCGGCACCCACACGATGGCTCACAATCATCCATAACTGCAGTTCCAGGGGATTCAAATCCCTCTTCTGCGGGCATCAGGCACATACGTGGTGCACATACATGCGTGGCAGCAAGACATTCATAGATGTAAAATTACATTTAAAAATCTAAAAATGATTTCCCACATTACTCATCTGGAAAGTATGGCTCAGGGATGAGATCCCCAGGGCCACCAGCTGGTAAGGACAGGAACCAGGACGGATGGAAGCTGAGGCCTATGTGGCGTCAGGGCTTTGGTACTCAAGCTACTCCTGGGTCCAGGATCCATGCTAAAGCTTACATACAGGCTCCACAGGAGCACTGCCCACAGCTCTATCATGGGTCCAGACGTGCAAGTGACCTCACGTGTCCACGGCGACAACCGTCAGGCAGAGTGAAACTCTGACCACCCCGCGGCCCAGGCTTTATCGGAAAGTCGGACCCCTTCTCTCGGGAGGTGGAGTGTGCTAACCCTCAGGATCTGGGGCCCCCGGTGCTGTGTGGGCACACCCAGACGTCATCCCCACACAGTGGCCTCCGTTGTTACCTGCATGGCCAGGCAGAGCGTGTTCAGCATGATGAGGACGAACATCATGTATTCGAAAGGCGAGGAGTTCACCACGTACCAGAACTTGTACTGGTAGGGGTTTTTGGGGATGTATCTCCGTAAGGGGCGTGCTTTCAAGGCATACTCAACACACTGACGCTGTAACGGCAGGAAGGGGGCAAACACAGGGGTTTTGAGGGCTTCCAGGGAAGGGGCGCATAGCTGCGGTCACACCTGCCTAGAAGAGCTCACCCTGGCTCTCAAGGACGCAGCCCTGAACTCCAGGGGCAAAGCAGCGGAACGGCCACTGTGCTGGCTCGGACTTGTAGGTGGAGCTCACACAGCCGAGGCTCTATGGTGTCTCCCTTCCTTCTTCCTTCCTTCCTTCCTTCCTTCCTTCCTTCCTTCCTTCCTTCCTTCCTTCCCTTCTTCCTTCCTCCTTCCTCCTTCCTTCCTTCCTTCCTTCCTTCCTTCCTTCCTTCCCTCCCTCCCTCCCTCTCCTCTTCTCTGCCTTCACTCCAGACACAGTTGGCTTTAGACAAGTTCTCTGTGTTTGGGACTCAGTGTCACTCTAACTCTAGAGACACCAGATCACAACCTATTTGGGACTTTAGGGTCACACACACGCACGCACGCACGCACGCACACACGTAACACCAGCTCTGCATGGTTTGCCTAGCCTAGCCTCTCCACTCATCTTCCTTGGGCAGGCAAAGAAATGAGCCACATTTCTCCCAGGTTGTCACCGGTAGGGTCTACAAGGACACTGACACAGGAAACTGCCTCCACGAACCAAGCCAGCACGCCCTCACATATGGCCACAGCTGCCACCTGGGCAGATAACCCTCATGAGACCATGGCCACCACTGCAGGGAGCCAGCACTGCCAGGCCAGACCATTCTTGCTCACCATAACAGCAGGGATGTGTCTGACAGAGGACAGGGGAAAACCCTCAGAACAGACTTTCAAACTCATACGGTAAAGGTTCAAAAGCACGTCTGCGGGGTAACTCCTTCATGCCTTCATAAACAGTCTCGAGGTGAGATAAGGGGTCAAGATTCCGGGAGCAGAGAGATGCACCTAATGTCACTGAGCAGGCACAGGCAGAGCGCACAGTCAGAGCACAGGCTCTTGGTTTCTTTGCTGTAGCTCCTAGTGAGAGCCAAGGCTCCTACTTCTAGACCAGCTAAAACGGGGAGGTCGGGAGAGGGCTTGAACAATGCCAGCAAAACTCTACAGCCAAGTTCAAAGTTTCCATCTCTTCCTACTAAGTGACAGCTTATTTTGATCGAGGCCAAGCGTGGTCCCCCAGAAGACACCTGGCAATCTCTGGGAATACTTTGGTTTCCTACTGGAGGAAGGCGATGCCAGGGTGTCACTTGGGTAGAGACCAGGGATTCTGCCCCTTGCCCTACAGCTGTGCCCCGGAAGCACGAGCAAGAAGGGTCAGCCCACAGCATCAACAGCACAAAGGCAAGGAATGTCCGCAGCCAGCAGACATCAGCGAGCCTCCCCGCGGGGCCTGTGCGAGTTTGAATGAGTGATTTCCGGCTCTGGATGGCAGTACCATCAACTGGTCAGCCACGACCATGGGCGGTGGCCTCTTGGGGTTCTCCGACTCCTCACCACAAGCTTGGGGACTGGTCTCCCCGGTCAACAGTCTACCCTGTGTGTGTGTGTCTGGTGACTAAACTCTGCAGAGGCTCAACATGGCCGGCGGTGTGCTCTGAGCAGGGCCTGAGCCAGGGTGAACCCTCTCCTCTGTGTAGAGAAAGCCGTTGAGAGAGGGGGGTGCTCTGCTCTGGCTTGGGGGCGGGGGGGCAGAAGCACAAACAGTGTGTGACTTTAACCTGATTTTTGTCGAGCTCACAGTTCTTATACTCTTTTTCTCCCTGCTCCTGGAAGGTGACGATGACAAAGCCCACAAAGATGTTCATCATGAAAAAGGCAACGATGATGATGTAGATGATGAAGAAGATGGAGATCTCCACGCGGTGGTTGTAGACTGGACCGGCGTTCTCCCCGTTGGAGTCGATGGCTTTGTACAGCAACCTGGAGAAGAGGAAAACCGGTGAGGGCCTGCCAGCGCCACCGCCCATGCAGCCCTGCCCGCTGCCCACCAGATGCTCCCAGAATTCCTCCGCACAGTCATGGGGGCGGCGCCACCGCCCACACAGCCCCCACCAGATGCTCCCAGAATTCCTCTGCACAGTCATGGGGGCGGTGGGGGGGCAGGCATCGGGGCCCCTCGACACAGCCTGGTCAATGAGGCCCCTTCAGCCTTCGGCCCAGACAGCTAGTAACTAGATGGGGGAGGGGTTACCCAGATATAATCATCCAGAGAATGTCTGGAGAACTGAAAAGTCAAAAGGATTTCACAAACCGTCCACGGTGCAGCCTTCTGTTAACAGGTAAGAGATGAGGCATATCAACAGATGTGGGGACACCAGACCTTGAGCAGAAACCCACTTCCCCTTCGGCCTGGGAGCAGGCATCTGTGTAATGTTTACTGAAAACAATTCAGTGCTTTAAAGCTCTTGATAGGGCTCAGATAAGGGCTTGCTCACTGAAATACCATGCCTTTCACACCCCCTACGGCTAGATGCCTCTTCCTGTTTCCCTGTGGTGTCTCCCCGATTCTGGGGCCGGAGATTAAACCACCAGCCAGGAGGAAAGAATGGTATGTAGATGAATGGCAGAAGTCCTTAAAAAGGGAAGCTCCTTTTTCTTAGAGAGACTTCTCCTGAGACTTCTCTCTCCTAAGCGGACTTGGAATCTCCTCCTAAGCTGACTTGGGAAGCATAAAGTTTTCTTAAAGCAACCGACCGGTCTCTGTGTCATCTATCCCGACCACCTCGCTACATTCTCGGATGCAGGCTGCACAGCAGGTGCGACAAACAGACATACTGAAGGAACTGAGAATTGTGTGTGCACTGACAGACACCCAGTACCCAACAAAATTTCTAACGTTAAGGGATACTCCAGCGTCAGACAGAACTCTTTTTTTTTATTTAAATTAGAAACAAGTTTGTTTTATATGTCAATCCCAGTTCCCTCTCCCTCCCCTCCTCCCCAGGGAGAGTGAGGTCTTCCATGGGGGATCTTCAAAGTCTATCACATCATTTGGAGCAGGGCCTAGGCCCTCCCCTGTGTGTCTAGGCTGAGAGAGCATGCCTCCATGGGGAACAGGCTCAGACAGAACTCTTAAGAAGGACATTGTCGTAAGCCACCCCCAACTTCAACTAATCTACTCTAACGCAGTCAGCCCTTCTCTAGCCCACCCCATGTCCAAAAGCTTTCCTGTCCTCTCTGGTCATCATTACTTCTCTCTGGAAGGGCAGATGTTACTGCCATCCTCTTCTTATACACGGTCAGAGAGGCAGCCAAGTGCCAAGGTCACGATCCTCAGGGTGCAGTCCAGAGCTGGGCTCAGGTCCTTGCAGCTCCAAGCCCCAGGCCTGGATCACATCCTGTCAGTTGTCCCAAAGGCTCACTAAGCTAACATTACCACAGAGCCCTGCTCTTACTCCACACCCTTTCTCCTAGACCAGCTTCCTAGTGGGCGAGGGCCACTCAACTGTCCACACACACTTCTGAGAATATCCGCCACGGGCGACCAAGAGCCCCAGCAACCAGCAGGAATCACTGCCTGAAGCCCCTCTTCCATCTGAGGGAAGCCGACAGAGTGCCAGAGGAAACCCTGCCCCCCGCTTGCTTCTTCTTCCTTCTTTATGTTCTGGTATTCTAACTCACCCGGATCCCAGCCATTCATCTGGACCCTACTGCATACTGGGTGTGATTAGGTGACATTTCTATTCGCTCTAGGCTCTGAGGGAGGGACGGTTGCCATGGTCATGTGATTTCTACCACGTTGCCTGGTGCAGCATACGGAATGGAGCTGATATCAAAGGCACAATTTATGAAAGAGTTTTTAAGGATCTTCACGAAGGAAATGGCATGTTGGCAACTGTATCATAATGAGTGAATGAACGACACTTTCTTGATACCGTCAAATTCTCTTTGAGAACGCCAGAAGGGCACCTACTAACGGCAAATGCTTCCTAGGACCCCCTTAATACCAATGGTGGTTTATACAGCAAATGCTTCCTAGGACCCCCTTAACCACACCCAGAGATGCTGCCCCCTGCCCTTCACATCTGAAGCCAGAAGGAAGATGCGAATGTTTAACCCTGCCTGTTCAGGTGGATGACAAGTTGCCCAAAGTTAGTCACAGGCAAGCTTGCTAGCTGCCAAGATCAAAAGTAGAACCCCTCTCCCCTGGAAGGATGACAGCCCAGAGTCCCCAAGGAGCAAGCAGGGCCCTCTCGGGGAGTCTGGGTATCCTTCATACTCACGCGGGCCAGCCCTCGAAAGTCGAGACCGTGAAGAGTGCCATCATGGCCGAAAGGACGTTGTCAAAATTAAAATCGCTGTTCTGCCAGATCCTCTCACGGACCACGGGACTGTCGACATCCCCATCCTTATAGAGAATGAAGAGCCCCCTGGGGAAGGAAGGAGCTAGAGTCATCGAGGCTTCACGTATGGCAGTATTATCAGCTCAGTCCCATCTCCAGAGAACGTCATGCGCAGCCCCAGCCGGGCCACACACCCGAGCACAGCCCCAGATGGAGTTCCTCCTTTTGGTGTCTCCCTCCACATTTAGTCTGCTCTGTACTGCAAGCAACTCTCCCGTGACGACGAGTTCAAAGTGCGCGCTCTCTCCAAGGCAAGAGCGGCTAGAGTCAGTGTGTGCCTGAACAGCAGTTGGACATGACTGAACAGTAAACGCTTCTCACGTCAGAGAGGCTCGGAATGGTGCAGAAGAATCTCGAAATGCATGCAGAAGAATCGCTACTTTGGCCACAGAATTCGATAGACTCTGGGAAGCAAGCCAAGGTATGTGCTTATCTGCATTCTAGTTTCAACATATCTCTTCCTTTTCTTATTTTATTTATTTATTAATTATGTATTCAGTAGTCTGCCTACATGTTTACCTGCATGCAAGTAGATCCCACTATAGTTGTGGGCCACCGTGTGGTTGTTTTGGAAATTGAATTCAGGACCCCTGGAACCTCTAACCCATCTCTCCAGCCCCCAATCTCTTCCTTTTCACAACAATGATATTCTCAACTTTCTTTCCAAAGGAATTCTGCAGTTGCTGCCGCCATTCCTTACAGAACTGCCCTTGTGGAAGGAACCCGCGAGATAAAGCCTAACACTGCCATTCACAGCAACAGGCGGCGGCCCAGAGGAAGGGCCCACAACACCACACGGTGACTGCACTGATCAGCTGGGGGGGGGGGATGGTGCTCTGCATCCCTCAACCCAGGCCAACAGCATCTCTGAAGCTGTATGTAGTCCCAGGCAGATTGTATCTGATGCCCCATGGCCACATCATTTGTTCAAGGAAGCCCCCCTTGAACAATATGGGGGGCAGGCAGCTAGACCCCAGCCAGCTCCAACTCTAAAGGTCAGGGACACAGATTTTTCTGTAGCCATAAGCTCTAGGAAATGTATGCGTGGATTGTGAGCATTCCATATTTGCTGAACGTCTGGGATCATAAAATGTGAACATCTCTTGCTGTTTCTCCGCTGCTGGCTGCTGTGAACAAAAATACGTTCAAAATGCGGGCAGCAGGAGCAAGGAGCAGAGAAGTCTGCCAAGCCTTCTAGAAGAGAGCTGCCCACTCCTGAACACCGGGGACTGAGCTTGCACGTCTGGCTTGGGGGAGCTCCGTTCAAAGTCCACATGGATAGCAGGGGAGACACCCGCCGGCCCTTGGCTGCTGTTACTTTAGGATTCCTTCCCTCCGGTTTCTAAGACCTACACTACACAGCTAGAGCCTCCTACCCATTCTTTTGGGATGATAAAAATGTTTTAAACCTTGAGAGAGGTGCTGGCTAAACATGGCTGCACTGAGTTGCAATTTCACTCGAGCTTTGTTGCCTGGACTTAAAAATATCAACAAACAACAGTAGACCAACAGTAGACCAACCACCATCCTTCCAGGCATGAGCTGAGTGAGCAAGCAGGGACTCTCGGTCCCTGGCCAAAAAAACAAAAACAAAAACAAAAAATCCCTCTGAAATGCTAACACGAGTGAATCCTTGGGGTCTGCTATTCTTCCGAATCCTCCAGCCCGCTGTTGGGATACCCACCTGCATTCTTCGGGGTTACTTTTGGCTTCGTCTGTGCACCGATAGAACTTCCCCTGGGATGCAAAAGTAGATGGAGAGTCAGATCTGGCTCTTCTTACGGAAGCCAGCTCTACCCCGGGTGGGAGGGTAACCCCCTACCTTGAACAACTGGACCCCGATGCACGCGAACATGAACTGGAGCAGGGTGGTGACAATCATGATGTTGCCAATGGTTCGGATGGCCACAAAGACACACTGGACCACGTGCTGGGGAGAGGGCAGGGGAGAGGGCAGAAAGCTGACACTCCTCTTCCTTGTTTCAGCCATGAGCTGAGCTCGCACCAGGCCAGGGCGCGTCTGCGCTTGGGTGCACGCTGATCTGACTTTCTAGCTGTTCTAGCCGCATGCTTTTGTTTTCCTGTTATCCAGTGCGTGTGGTCAAGGTGACATGCGCTTTTACTTTTATCCAACCCTGACGGCACGGGTTTATTGTGCGAGCAGGTGTGTGCCCACGTGTGACATGTATGTGTGTGTGTGTAGGCCGGAGGACAACGTGCGGGGGCTGGTTCTCTCGTCACGTGTGGGTCCCAGGGATGAACTCGGGCCATCAGATGCAGTGTCTTAACCCACTGAGCCGTCCCCCTGGCCCGAGGACGCTCCTTAAGCGCCTTTTTTCTTGGACTTCCTCCAAAGAAGTTGGCTTAACTAAAAGAAACGCCACCTGGCACGTGGGCTCACAAGAACCCTATCCCAGAAAGACCTCCCAGAGATGCCAACCCTTTAGACCTGCTGCAGCGTCCATAAGGGAGTGATTTACAACTTAAACACAAAGGAAAATGCTATTGATAAAGAAGTAACAAATAATTATAGTAACTGTAATGACCGATATCTCCAAGTAACAGCAAAAAAAAAAAAAAGCGGTTGTGTTTCGCTGTGTGTGTGTGCGCGCGCGTGTGTGTAGCGGTACATGTTAGCGGAGACGAGCCCCCATGCACACGCCTGTTCGTGTGTCCCGCCGTATCCGCCTCTGCTTTATATTCTTGGGGTGGGAGTTGTCTCTCCCTGAACCCAGAGCAAGGATAGCCGCCAGGAAGCCCTCCCTTGCTGTCTCAGCCACCTCACAGGGCACTGGGGTTCAGGAGTGTGAGGACATGCCAGGCTTTTAAAACAGATGGAGGGATTTGAACTCAGGTTCCCAAGGCCTGTGCAGCAAGGGTTCTTAGTGCCGTGCCATTTCTCATTTTTAGAGTGACCGTGCTAAGCAGAGGCAGCTTTAGGAGGTGGGAAGGTCCCACTGAGAGCCTCAGCTCTTCTCCTGACAGAACAGTCAGTCACTGTAGCCATCCCCAGCCCAAGCCAGCCCAAGCCAGCCCAAGCCAGCCCAAGCCAGCCCAAGGCTCAAGGGAGGCCCCGTACCTTGAGTCCTTTTGCTCTATTGATTGCTCTGAGAGGCCTCAAAACCCTCAGGACCCTGAGAATCTTCACCACGGAGATGGCGCTGGATCTGCGGGAGGACAGGGGGAGGGCGGTAAGAGAAAGCAAGCGGGCGGCCCCGTGGTACGGCCCGACAGGAGCCTTGACGGTGGTTATGTCACATGACCATGTCTTTAATGACACCACATAACGGTGTGGAGTTGAGCTGGTCTTGCTTCAGGGTTTCAGCAGGACCCTTGCTCCTGCTGCCACCAAGCTGGCCTCCTGTCTCCTGAGGGAGCTCCGAGGCCCTGCCTGGCTGGGGCTCTACTTCGGGCACACAGCTTGCCTTTACAGAGGCGTTTCCAAACGGACCTCACGATTTTGGTGCAAACACCACAGTTCCCTGACATTTAGATTTCAGTGTTTTAAGTCTGGGGACCCGTGCTAGGGCTCTTCTGGCCTCCGAGAAGTTAAATCTGGTAGGAGAGATGGGCAGCAACTTCCTATGTGGCACGCACGGGTGGGGGGCATGACGTAAATTCGAGTGTGCTCCTCCAAGGAAGGGAAGGTGGGGCATGACGTGGGGGCAGCGGGGAAGGCCTCTCAGGGAGGTTGCTTCAGGTGTCAGTTTTACGGACCAGGTAGTGGTGTAGGCCACAACAGCCCAAGAGCGTGAGGGCTTTGGTCAGTTGCAGACTGTCTGGGTTAGTCAGTTGGGCGTGTCTCGGGCTTGGGAGGAGGAGGGAGCCTGCAAGAGGGAAAGCCGGGAAGAGCAGGGAAGGCTTGGGAGTTGGTGAGACCCTTGAGGAGACAGGATCCACGGCTCCACTGGAAATGGACTCAGAACTTCCTTCTCCAGGCAGCGGCTGGAAGCGACGAGGAAGGCAATTCTGGGCAGGAATCCTTGGTTCTTGTTAGGTCCAAAGCAACCCCCCCCCCCCCAAATGGCAGTGCTGCTGACAATGTCCTCACCTCAGCCTGGGCTCCACTGACTGACTGGATAAGCAGGGGGACTGCCATTCGGTAAACAAAAACCTGAACTTAGCATCCCTCAAAAGCAGGGTCTCCGCTTGTCAGGAAAAGCCACGGCTTCCCAGATCTGCCCCAATGGTCAACTACCTCAGGCAAGGGGCAGCTAGTCCCTGATGAACCCAAACAGCCTGCAGCAGACCAAAGCCCCCATGCTAATTCCCAGGCCGTTCTGGCCCCTGCCCCTCCTCCCACCACCGCCTGTTCCCATGAAACTGATGAGGCTGTCCGCTGGAGCTACCGCTCTCTGCCCCCACCCCACCCCACCGCAGAGACCGCCCAGACGCCTGATGCTCAAATAAACTGTCTTCCTTCCCACAGAGCAGTCTAGATCAGGTTTTCACCGTGCTCCCTTCAGTCCTCCCCAGGTTCCTTTAACTAAGGGGTTTGTTATGTACACGTGTGCTCATGGTTTATTATGTACACGTGTGCCCACAGTGCATGTGCTCACAGTTTATTAGTACACGTGTGCTCATGGTTTATTATGTACATGTGTGCCCACGGTTTATTATGTACACATGTGCCCACAGTGCATGTGCTCACAGTTTATTATGTACACGTGTGCTCACAGTATGTGCGCCCACAGTTTATTATGTACACGTGTGCCCACAGTGCATGTGCTCACAGTTTATTATGTACACGTGTGCTCACAGTATGTGCGCCCACAGTTTATTATGTACATGTGTGCCCACGGTTTATTATGTACATGTGTGCCCACGGTTTATTATGTACACATGTGCTCACGGTTTATTATGTACACGTGTGTCCACAGTACATGGGCTCACAGTTTATTACGTGCATGTGTGCTCACACTGGGGAACTCCCAGGCAGCTCCAGAGCAGAGACGCTCAGAGGCCAGCAGGAGAGTGACATGAGGTTACAGAATACACAGCCACGGGTGACTGCCCCGGGTAGTGCTCAGGGTAAAAGGTGGCGCTCAGCCCCACCAGGGGCTCTCAAATGCCCCCCCTAAAGGTCATAGCAGCTGTGTCCCCTGCAAGCACAGGAAGTGGAAGGGGTCGAGAGAGATCGCCATGGCCAAGCTCTTCCTGCAGTGGAAGAAAACGGCCACCCTGAGAGAGGACACCCAAGTCTTGGACCAGGCCCGAGAAGAACCCCGTTTGCTCTCTCCCAGTCAAGATGTCTTTCTCTGCTGTTGAAAGCCAGTTTTCAAAGGGAATGATAAACTCAACCTAGCGGTAGGTACAAGAAAAACAAACAAAAAGACGGAAATAAGAAAGCATGAATGGCCCCGGTACTTTCTGGCATGGGGCAAGTTAAGCCGTCCCAGCTGTAATCATCAGACGGTGCCCGGCTTGAACGAATTAGGTTCAAGTTCCCCATGTATATGATTCCTTCTAATGACACATGAATACTTACTGAATCCCAAAGGACACCAGAGACACTCCGACAACCAGCATGTCCAGCAAATTGAAGTAGTTCCTGCAGAAAGCCCCTTTATGCAAGAAAGCTCCAAAAGTCGTCATCTGTGAACAGAATCACGTGTCACCGACTTTCTCCTCCTCCCCTCCAGGGTCCAAACCCAAACAAACAAACAAACAAAAACCTGGCTCTTCACAAAATCTTGACAGAAGTCCAACGGCTTCATTAACGACTGCCCATAAGGAAGCCAAATGCAAAGCAACAGGGCGGAGTGACTGTGTCACAAAAACGGACAGGGGTACGGAAAGGTGCAGCCATTGGTGCGGAGTCTACTCCAATGGCAGCAACAGATGAGCACAGACCGCGTCTGAAGAGCCTGCCCCCAGGGAGACCGCACAGGACTGTGCCGTCACAGCCTCACTGGGTTTGCCTATCAGGGCACATGCTGTTTTCACTGTACCCTCTCCGCGGAGGCTGGAGGCGGCACCTGGACCCGGCGCTGCTAGGACCCTTCCCCCTCTCCCTTAACTTGGTTGCCCCAGCTTTAACAGTTTTCCAATTCTCATTTCTCCCAAGTCGAATTACTGGACAATGTACAGTGATGCTACAACCCAGCCAGGCTTGTTACCACGTTAACTTGTACAGCAGGAGCCCATATCCTAGTGAGGTTTCTGCTGGCCACGGGAAGAGTTCAATGGGCAAGTTCTCCAGATGGGAATTATAGTGTTAAACAGTCCAGGATTTGATTGGCTCCCAAGCCCACGGGTAAGTCTCCCATTTAACAAATCAGGAAGGCAGGTGGTAAAGAGACGCCTCAAGTAACCAGGCTAAAAGATCTCATGGAACAAGGCTACTTCTTCAGCTCGAGGAGAGGCAGCAAACAGCCAAAACAGGAACCTGGGGCGTGGACCCAGCATGCTCCCTGACACAGACCCTACCATGGGGCCACAGACCACGGCCCCTGCTCTGGTCCGCCGCCATACGGAGAGGGCCAAAACTGAATCGACTGGCTTACATTCGGGCAAGAAAACTCAAATTTTTATACAACTTGAAACAGAGTTGAACATGTTTGGAGGTGGGTGGTCTTGAACTCATTATCACTATCAATGACAGAAAGGGACTACTCCCTGTCCACAATAATTTAATCAGTAGAAGATTTTGTGAAGAGCTCAAGTTTCCAGTAGCCCAGCATAAAGTACATTAAAAAAAAAAGGATGCACACACATAAACTTCAAAATACTTTAAAACTTTTATGGTGAAAATTCTTCATTTGTCAGCTTCTTCCCACGAGGAGCTGGCTGTAACAATCAAAATCAGAAAGCCTAACTCCTGGAGGCTCTTAGCCCTCTACAGTGTCTTCTGGGCATCTAGGATGATCCCCCTCCCCCCGGAGGAGCGCTTGCAGTTGGGACACAGCACACATGATGATGCCACCTGTTAGGTCATCATGCATGGACAGTACATTCGGGTACACCTTCGGATTGTGCAGATGTAAGCCCATCCCATTAAAACAGATACAGGACGCTGGCACACAAGTAGACCCAACCTATCTTGCAAGCCCTGTTGCAAGAAAATAGTACGCTACTCTTCCAGGACACAGGAATGGCAGCGCAGTCCCAGAGGCAAGGACAGCACGGTTCCTGCCACAGCACGGATGTGTTCCTTTTCGCTCCGGTATCAGGGAGGGAGAAGAAAGATCATGCAGAGAGTTGTATGGAGTAGTCGACAAATCGCAGAGGATTTGTGTGTTTAAAAAAAAAAAGAGCAAAATATAATTCCAACTAGAGTGTGAAGCCAAACTAGCTCTCACAGGCACCCAAAGGTTAAAGGAAAGCAGCAGCAACATGTTGGAATGCTCACAGGTGGGGGGAAGAAAAATCCCGTAGTTTACAAAAACAGTTTAGCTTGATCACAGAAGGAAAAATAAAAAGTTGAAAGCACTTCACTCTCTCCTGTGCCACCCACAGGAGCCAGCCTCAGTCACACCGCTGGCTGGCCGGCCCGCCTGTTACCTTCAAAATGATCTCAAACGCAAAAGTACCAGTGAAGACATAGTCTGCATAGCCTAGCACCTGGAAGGGAAGAGAGGGTGCGGCCATTATTGCTGCGGCTGCATTGGCAGAGGGGGTCAAGGAGCACACGTTACCTTCAGCAGGATCTCCACCGTAAAGATGGCTGTGAAAGCATAGTCAAAGTAACCCAGTATCTGCAAGGCACAACACGCGGGAATCAGAACAAGGCACCCCAACAAGTTGTGGCAGATCCCTGCCCACAGGCAGAACCCCCAACCTGTGGCCAGAGACCCCTCTCCCGGGCAGGGCGATCCTGCTGCTCCCTCCGGAGGGCTGAGATACAGGAAGGGCCCACCTCACCCATGCACGGCTCCTCTTTTGATACAGAGGAGTGATAGGCTGGGGAGTCTTGCTTCCTTTACCCGCTCGGGCCAGACCGGCTTCTCGTGCTCCTATCCTGGCCCACAGGCTGCTTTCTGGAAGTCCTGTGTTAGTAACCTTCCCTGTGTGGGTGAGCTGCTAGTGCTTGTAGCCCCTGAGAAGGGAGACTCTCACACACATTTTTGCAGTCTTGGATTTAGCTGAATGAAATATGCTGCCCTCTAGCTGTGCTTCCGACCGGCGAGGAAGTATTAGTGGTGGGTGAGGCTCACTCATACCAGCTGAGCACGAGGCCTGGGCTCTATCCACAGCGTCATAAAGGCTAACATCCTAAGTATGTAAATCATAAATGAGAAAGACGCTAATGGTGTCAAATCGAGTCGGGAAGTTTCCTGTGTTCCCGAGGACCCAGGACCACTTTTACCATCATGTGGTCTGCCTACCCCACCCGCATACGCCAGGGTGGCTCAGTTTGTGAGGCGGGGTTTGCATTCAGTGTCTTCCTCCTGCTATACTCTGTATGCAACTCCACTTCCTCCCTAGACTGACGCTTGCCTTTCTGAGGCCGCGCAAAGAATAGACTGACATAGAATTTCAGTTTTTAGTACAGGCACTTTACGATAGCATCCCTGAACACCACCTATTATCTCTAAGAGCCTTGTGAGATTCTGATGCAAGGCTCTTGGTTTCTTTCAGGGGCCACGAAGACTCAGAGGCAGGGAAAGTGAAGTCTGGCCACTCCAACAAGGTGCTGCTGACCTAATGACTCTCAACCAGAAACATGGCAGCCAAGACCACCAGTACACAGGCCTGTCCTGGGTGCTGATCTCATGGGAATGGTACGACGTGGCTTTATTGCACGTCTGTCTGTCTGTCTGTCTACAGCCATTCTGTCCATCTGTCCATCTGACCATCCATAGCTACCTACCTGCTTACTTACCTATATATACTGTCTGTGACAAATGCGTGTGCCACAGAATACGTACAGAGGTAAGAGGACAACTTTTGGCTACCAGCTCCTCCTTTCCACCACGAGTCCCAGGGACTGAGCTCAGGTGGTCAGCTATGGCGGCTCTTGCCTATACCTGCCGGGCTGTCTTGCCAGGCAATTACGGTTCTGAGAACCGAAGACATCAGTGTTGGAAGGACTGGAGAGACCATGTAGGCCTGCTCTTTTTCATTTAAGAGTAACTCTTCTCGTTGTGTCTTCTCCGTTGGAGCTGCCCTCTGGGGCACACAGAGCCTCGCCTCCATAGAAGAGGGACCTGAGCCTCTCCCTTCCACGGAAGTGGGGGAGTCCACGGCAGCTCTCGTCAGAGGTAGCCCTTTCCCAAACTTCCCATTGCTGGGCTCCTAGGCATTGCTAGAGCAGTTCCGTGCCACTACGCATTTTCTAGTTGACTATCCGGCCCCTACCACCCTCCCCCTATTCCCTCCCTAGATACTGAAAGTACCTGACGGCCACACACTGAGGCCAATCCAAGTTCTCAGGCTTAAGTGCTTTCTTCATGCAGCCTGTACTTCCCCTTCTCACTAAAAACTCAGCTACTGTTCAAACGCAACACTGCAGCAACATAACAGTGATACGTGCACACACACACATGCACGCACACACACACACACGCACACACACACACAGGTACACCTGTCTAAAAAGACAGGGAAATCAAGGTGACACTTGCATGGGAAAGAGACTACAGTAAGAAGAGACATATATCCGCTCCTTGTGGACTCTTAGCCTGGACGGGCACCTGACCTGTGATAACGCGATTTGTCTCCAAACACATTTTCTGCCCCATGATTTTTTTTTCTTTCATGATGGAACTCAGTGACCTCGGGGTGCTCACTCCACTGGAATGCCCGAGTGAGGACAGCCCTGAGGGTCTCTGTATCAAAGCCGTGTCTCTGAGGCTAGACTCAGGCAGGCTCAGTGCCCTCATCTTGACAGGACTCCACCTGAGCCACAGGGGAGCGCCCTTTTCCTCATCACCAGAAGGTTCGCCAGGGACTGGAAGTGGGGAGCTACGGCATGAGGGTGTGATTACTGAGACAAAGCTGGGGGCACCGGTCGCCTGACGTGCCTCAATCCTAAAATCTCCTTTGTTCCCCTGTGCAGAAAGAGACAGGCTCATCTGACAGCCTCACGCTCCTGTGGCCTCTCCTTGGGGGCCACCTGACAGGCCCGTGGCTGTCTGAATCTGTCTTTGGAGTTTCTTCAGGGCTGAGGTGGGAGAACTACTCAGAAAGAGACCCTGAAGCAATTAGAAACGAGTATCTTCCAACACGGATGCCTCAGTGGCACCATTCATAAGCTACAGCATTGGCTGAACGACTGAAAATATAACTGCCACCTGCTGCCCCTCCTTCCAGCTCGGTCTTCTCCCTGACAGGCGTTTCTTGTCAGCAGGGTAGCTGAGCAGCCTCGTGTAAACCCCACGTAAGAAGGAACTCTTTTCACCAACCCAAGGGGTGGAGGTCCCGGACCCAGGGCACGCTGGGGCTCAAGTTCACCTTCTAAGGAGCCATCGCTATGCCTCTCACGAGAAAGGGAAACCCCCACGCAAGAAGAGAGGGGCAAAGGGGTCCCTGGAGACACTGGCAGTATTGCAGAGGCTTCTAAATAAGTGTCCCCCATCAGCTCTGTTCGGAGACAGCAAATCCCTGGCGCCATATACCACGCGAAGCTCTAGGCTTGGGTCCTCTGTCCAGGATGGCCCGGTGCGAACAGGCAGGGCCAATCCCCCGCCCCACCCAGGGCAGCTCCACCCACCCACCCACCCCTCCTCTCTCAGAGGCTTACAGTGTTCCGGAATGAATGGCTGCGGATGGGATCCTCGGCCGCAAGGGCGGCGCTGCTCAGCATGATGAAGACCAGGATGAGGTTGGTGAAGATGTGGTGGTTAATGAGCTTGTGGCAGCCCACGCGGATCCTGTTGAGAAAAGCGCTGTGTGGACACCAGGGCCCCCGAGCCTGCTGGGGCCTCCAGGGCGTGGGGCCCCTTGGGGGAGAAACCAGGAGGAGGCTGGCCCAAGGCCAGGTGGCTCTTGTTGTCCACCTGGGAAGAGCAGTGGGGGCCCACGATTTGCTCCACAAATCCTACAGCCAGCTGGTGGCGGTTGAACGCCGTGTGCCGGGGTTCCACAGAGACCATCTGGCCCAATCCTGACACTCCGGGTTGCTGTCCCCCAGTGACGGATCAGTGGTTAAGAGCACTGGATGTTCTTCCAGAGGATCCGGGTTCGGTTCCCTGCACCTACACCAGGGGTTCACAGCCCCCTGTACCTCCAGTCCCAGGGGATCCGATGCCCTCTTCTGGCCTCTGTGGGCACTGCATGCATGTAGCACACAGACATACATGCAGGCAATCACACGCACCAATCACACACATAAAAATAAATAATTAAAAATATGAGAAACTGAGGCTTGTGGCCATGAAAGAATGTTAAGGTAACAAAACTAGTAATGGCCACGGGTAGATTTCAAATCCAGGTATGTCTGCCGCTAATTTTTTTTCTACCACATCATAAAGCCTAACTTACGAAAGAACACCGGGCCAGATTAAGTCCCTTGACTAAAAAAACTACACAACAAACTACAACTCAACTTAGTTACAAACTAACTGGAAGCTTAACATAGAAGACACTCTTGTAACAAACGGCTGAGCCTCGCCCATCACAGGCTGCAGAGGGATCAGAGCATGCTCAAGCAAGGCCCAGGGGTGCTGTGGCCAGCCAAGCTGTCTCTCCTGCATGTCAGGTTCTGTCCATGAAGACATCTCTACCTCACAGAGCGCAGCTCAGGGATGGGCTTCTGCTCTCTGAGGCTGCTTCGTTTGCGAATCAATTTAATTTACCCCAAAGTTTTAGTTTAACACGGAGACTAGGATATGTTCCTTTCTTTGTCCACAAAGGAGCCCAGTCTATGAACACAACCTGCAACAAGAGAGGGCTGGTGATGTCTCCTGCTGTCTGGAAGTTTTGTCGTAAATGTCCTATTTTTAGAACACTTTATTACTTCTGTTTATTCTCTCTCTTTTCCTACCTCTCCTTCCTCTCCGCCTGTGTGCGTGCGTGCATGTGCATGCGTGTCTGTGTGTGCCTCTGTGTGTGTACGTGTGTGTGCACGTGTGTGTGTGTGTGTGTGTGTGTATGCATGTGGAGTTCACAATGAACATGTGGAGTTCAAACGACAACTTTTGGGGGTCAGTTATCTCCTTTCCTATGAACATGAAAGGCTCAAACTCAGGTTGTCAGGCTCAGTGGCAAGCGCTTTTACCCACAGAGCCGTCTCCTGGCCCACGCGGGTCTCATTTTTAATTCAATAGTTGACCCACAAGTATTGGTCCAAAAGTCGCTGTGTTGTTTGCTCACGTGTAAGGGCCTCACTGCACTTATTAATGGGTTCCTCACCAAACCCTGCAACCCTGAGGAGCAAGGAGGGCCGGCTGGGTCTCTCAACCCAGATCCAAGCCTTTCGTGATGGCTCTTGGAGCCCATGAAAATCTCGCCTGGTCCCCTGAGATGCCACGGGGCTGGGTCAAAACACCCTACTCTCGAAATTCAGATTTAAAGAGTTATTCTTTCTCTTGGGAAAAAATAAACTTTTACTTTTCAAAACTAAGAGTCAAGAGTCGCCTTTGTATGATGGTGACCCTTCACCTCAAGATTCCGCATCTTGTGATGCTCAGCACTGCGCCCTTCCTGGAAGGCTTGCACACTGCAGTAGCCGGGGGTGGGGAAGACCTCCCAAGGCAATGAGGGCAGGGGCGCTCTTGGCGTGCGTGCACACACACACACACACTATCATCTATCTATCTATCTATCTATCTATCTATCTATCTATCTATCTATCTAATGTCTATCTATCTATCTATCTATCTATCTATCTGCTATGAACTACAGGTCTCACCAACAGTGTCACAGTCTTTCCTGTATTTTTCTTTTTAAAGGATGTTCATTGAGGGGCTGTATAAAGACTGCAGAGTGGGCTACATAACTCAGCAGATAAAAGAGTCTGTATGCAAGCCTGGCAGCCTGAGTTCCATTCCAGAACCAACACAAAGGGGGAGAGAAAACCAAATCTGTAAAGTTGTCCCCCGACTTTCTGTGTGCACGGTGGCTCATATGGCTCCTGCCACTCCACACAATGACAACAAATGGACCTTGTAGACAGAAGATCACAAAACCGTCGTGTTTCGAGGGGTCCAGCCTGCCTTGCTTCCCACCCGAGTCTCCGCAAGGTCTGTGAATTACACAGTGTCCCTCTCTGACAGCCAAGAACTACTTCTGCAATTCTAGAAACCCTTCCAGGAGCTGCCTATCCCCAGCCCCCACAACCCCCCCCTGCAGCCCACTTAACCCCAGACGATTTAAACCTCGAAACCAGCTAGTAAATAAACTTCATCTCCTTCTTCTCACAGTCTGTGAGTCACCACCGTGTTCCTGGTGAGCGCCTCATCATTTTAATATGAGAAACGCTATTTCTCACCGTGTTCCTGGTGAGCGCCTCATCATTTTAATATGAGAAACGCTATTTCAGGCACTTTCATAGTGTGCTGAGTCAAATGAGCCTATAAAGCATCACGAGCAATCCCATAAAACTCGGCGGGGGCGGGGGTGGGGGTGGGGAACCACCTAAACGGGACCTGGAAATGAAGACGCAGTGCAGAACCTGCTTACAAAATCCTCACTCCGTAAAGCATCTCAAGACCAGGGTCCTAGAGGCGGCCGGTGTGTACACAAAAAAAACCATGGACTCCGCCATAATGTCTTCTTGAGCCACACCCTGCTCCAGTGCTGTTCCCATGCAGCGGCGGGGGGGGGGCAGGGGTTCTAGAGCAGGCGCCCCCAGGACGCGGTCACACCCTCAAGGGAACGGGACACTTGCTCAGGGCTAAACGTGTGGCAAAGGCAAGGAAGAGAAGAGGGGTTGAGGGGAATATGTGGGGTCCAGGGACACCCAGGGCCAGAAGGGGGCGGTGAGTCACTCCCCCTCACCGCACCCCCACTGTCCTCAAGAGTTCCCCCCCCCCCAGTAGAGAGACATCAGCAATGGGACTAGGAAGAAAGTATTTACGGGTTGGTCTTGCTAAGGATGAAGAAAGCACTTCCTTCGGGGATGGGTACAATCTTCTCCTTCATGTTCAGCTCTGAGATTCTGCGAGGACGGGGGCCAGCAGGGACCTCGGGCTCCTCCTCCTCCTCCTCCTCCTCTTCACCTACTTTGAATGGAACAGTTTTTACAGGTGTGAAAACTGCATATGGGTCTGAGTTATCGCTCTCAACTTCACATTTAAAAACGCGGCTTAAACTTTAACAGCATCTACTGCCTCCACCAACGGAAAGCCTTCCTTTTTTCCCTCAGAGCATGGGCTGCATGTGCATGGGGGTGAGACACACCCATCCATGCCTAGTGCCCTTCGCTATAAGACATGGGAAGGAAAGCCAGGCGTTGGTGGCGCATACCTTTAATCCCAGCACTCGGGAGGCAGAGGCAGGCGGATCTCTGTGAGTTCGAGGCCAGCCTGGTCTATAAGAGCTAGTTCCAGGACAGCCTCCAAAACAACAGAGAGAAACCCTGTCTCGGAAAGAAGAAGAAGAAAAAAAAAAGACATGGGAAGGAGACATCCTCTGGGGCACAATATGGCCAAAGACATAGGTGAGAGTCTCACTGCCACCTTCCCAACATCTGGCTGTTTCCCTACCACCCCCTTGCTCAGTTTTAGTCAGAAAAATGGAGATTTAATCAGGAAAAAAATGTGGATTTCCAGTCACAGGCATGCTTGCCCTCAGACTTTGACACCCCACAACCATTTCTCTAGCAAAAGCTGTGCCTATCTGTCCAATCTGTGCTGCCTGTGACTTTGGGGGGAAAGCAAAGCTGACTGCTCTCTAAGACAAGGGGGCCTATGGCCTTGGTGGTCTCAGCAGCCCAGTGTGATGACCACTGGCCCCCACCCTCCCCCTGTATCTTCAAACATCTGGGCCACTTTGCCCCACATACCTGGTACATCACAGGGTGGGTAAGGGTCCTTATCTTCCGTCTCTTCCTGATAATCATCAATCGTAACCTAGGACAAGAGAGGGAATTCTGACTTCGTGTACTCCAGAGGGCCAAAGCCAGAGGACCACCCTATCCTTCAGCAGTACGGGGGCGCTTATGCAAGTTTGTGTGTGCGTGTGTGTGTGTGTGCGTGCGTGCGTGTGTGTGTGTGTGTGTGTGTGCTCGCGCGCGCGTGCAGACACAGTAGATGAAGATTATGCTTCAGTCAAGAAAGCCCAAGAGCACCTAGGTCACAGTCAGTGGGCACCATCCATGGCTCTGTCCTTTTACCATCTCAATGCAGGCACGCACACTGTGTGGGGACCACATTTAGATTCCTGTCTCTCAATTAGACTGTGAACTCCACGGAGGCCGCCTGGTGTCTCACATACGACCGTCACTCAGTATTTATCAATTCGATGAGCAAACACATCACAGAAGCATCCAGGGTTGTCGTAAGTGTGTGTGATGAAACCTGATAGTGCCGCTTTGACGCCTCCTAGACCACCTGGACTCTGAGGTCATCTCTGGGAGCAGACATCCACTAAAAAGCCTGATTTTAACAACCACCAAGAAGACACTGACACAACTGTAACCATGGGTCATGTCTGATCATGTAGTTGCAACTCAAAACAAGTAGTCCAATTCCTCGGATATCCATCAAATATCCATGGTAAAACGTTGGTTTATCAGCTCCCTCTCTAGCTCGGTCAGAATCCCCAGTGTTTATGTGGTAGGCTCTGTTTTTTCACAGCAAAATATCATGCTATCAGTGGTAACAGTGATAGAGACACCAAGAGACTCGCTTTGAAACAGAGAGAAGTTATTTTGTAAAAAAAAAAAAATACCTTGTTGTCACTGTTGGCTATCTGGTTGACTTCTGGTTTGTTGTTCTTCTTATTTTCTAGGCTTTCTTTTCTACAGATGAAGGAACACAAGAAACCAAGTCACCATGTTGCTGCGTACTGAAGTGTTAACCAGGATTCTGAATCAACACTGCTGGACGGAGGACCAGAACTCAACTGGAAACCCTGATGGCAAGACTACAGGGCAATCCAAACTCGGGGCTTCCTGCTCTCCTAACGCAACGGAGTCACTACACAGACCATCTTATTCAAATCCTTAGCCAAGAGCTAACCAGCATTGAATGCGTCATTTAACTTATGACGCCAGAATTAACTGCAGTGATTCTCTAAGTACAGAGATGTATGACTTCCTTTCTTTGCTCTGAGGGTAAGAGCCAAGTGCCCGGCTTCTACCCTAGAGTCCCTTATCCTTCCTTGGTACCACATGGTCACCCACAATCACTGCAAAGTAGCAATACGGGCCTCAGCTCCTGGGAAGCATGCCTGAGCCCCCAGCACCTCTTGGGAAGCATGGCTGGGCCCCCGACCCTCTTGGGAAGCATGGCTGAGCCCCCGCCCCTCTTGGGAAGCATGGCTGAGCCCCCGCCCCTCTTAGGAAGCATGGCTGAGCCCCTGGCACCTCTTGGGAAGTTTGGCTGAGCCCCTAACACCTCTTGGGAAGCATGGCCGAGCACTCCCTAGCACCACTGGGAAAAATGTCTTAGTGAAAATAGCGTTACCTGGCAATTTTTTTCCTCTCTTTTTCTTCAGCTTCCTCTTTCTGAGCAGTGTTCAAGCTTTCAGCATCAGCCAAATTGTCTACAGCAATAGCCAAGAAGACGTTCAGTAGGATATCTAATTCAAAAATCTTAAGGGTATAACATGTTCTGAAGTGCAGTTACATACAGCTGATAATGGCAATGTCACACTCCTCTGCTCATGGTGTCTGGGAGTGGGTGACTGACCTTGGTGTGATACTCAGTTGGTACGGCTGAAGAACTTGGTAAAATCACTCTTTCAAAAACGAGTGAAAAAGCATCAGACTCCTGTGTAGGATCTCCTGAATATCCACAGAGATCCATGGAGACACACCATTTCACTGTCTCCTTGTTTATATAGTGCTGAACATTCATGAGGCACATTGTGTGATGGGGGAAGTCCTGCTGTGGACATGTCGTCTTATTGGTTGATTAAATAAAGCACTGTTGGCCAATAGGGAAGCAAGATAGGTGGGACCAGGAGCCGAGGAGGATTCTGGGAAACAGAGGCACAGCCAGTCACAATGTAGGACACCAGAGGAATAAGAGGTCTGGACCCTTTCTCCGGTAAGAGAAGACCACGTGGAAACACTCAGATCAGCAGTTGTGGGTTAATAATTAAGTCAGAGCTAGCCAACAAGAAACCAAGCAAATGGCCAACCGCTTCATAATTAATATAGTGTCTCGTGTGTTATTTGGGGGCTGAGACAGTGGCAGGACCCAGTTGGCTGGCGGGAAGAATGCGCGTTAAATTGTGTTTTGTTTTCCTTGAAAGCACACATTACTACGTACACATTCAAGGGGTTCCTTTGCAAAGCAGATGCCTTCAAAGGTCACATGCATTGGAACAATGATATCATCACATAAATCAGCAGGAAGCTTTCCCCTCTAGCATGGGCTCCAGAGTCCATGGCTAGTTCCTTTATCCTTCACTCTGCTATGAAATGTAAGCGAGATGTCCTGCCAGGGGGAGACCGGGGCGATCCGTCGGCGGCTCCTCACCACTCATGGGTGTAGCAGCCCTGACTTCCCCTCGATGGCAACGTAAACAGACACCAGGCTTGCGCGCTTGTCCCAGATTGAGGCATGACACTACACCCGTCACCTACTGGCATACGCACTGTCACCTGCGTGACTCACGTGACACGGCTCCCATCTGCCATGCGGAGGTAACAAGGGGAAGGACATTTTCGTCCTCCTTACCCCTACAGTGGCTACCACCACCGCAAACACCGGGAAACTCAGAGACAACAAGACGGCGGCCATGGGGAACCACGCAGTCCCGGTAATTCCAAAGGATACAGTTGCCACAGATGAAGAGGATGATGAAGTAGATGCAGACAATCATCCCAGAAGAGGATGGGCCTCCGTAGGCCATGATGCCGTCATACATCACCGCATTCCAGTCTTCACCTGTCAGGATCTGAAAAGACAAGGCTGGGTCAGACAGCGGACAGAAGCCTCAGACTGCACTGATCACTCTGACCTCAGTAGCTTTTCTCAGCCCAGCTCACAATGAAATTGACCTATCTGCTATCCTTGCTATCCTGCTGAAGCTTCAACAACAACTTATTATTATTATTATTATTATTATTTTGGTTTTTCAAGACAGGATTTCTTTGTATAGCCCTGTCTGTCCTGGAACTCACTCTGTGGGCCAGACTGTCCTTCAACTCACAGAGATCCACCTGCCTCCTGCCTCTGCCTCTGGAGTGCAGGGATTAAAGGCGTGCACCACCCACTACCAAGCTCAATGTATTATTTAACTTTGCAAATAACAGTTGTTTCTTCTAATTTTTATCCTAGACAGTGACTGATGTTGGTACTTGTCTTTCTGGCACCTTTGTCTATAGATTAAAACACACACACACACACACACACACAGAGAGAGAGAGAGAGAGAGAGAGAGAGAGAGAGAGAGAGAGAGAGAGAGAGAGACTGGCAGACTGGCTGCCACTGGCATCTTCTCTTACTTATTTAAGCACAAAGAATACCATGTTTCTACAAGCAGCTCAGCGATATTCCTGGAGACCCTGATTAAGTAGGTTCTTCTCATTCATTTTACTCAGTACCTCGTATTCTGCTTAGAAAACGTACTTCAGAGACAGCGGATTTTATCTATGCATTTTCAGAATCAGGGAATTCTGTCACATGAAAGTGTATAAACCATCTCAAGAGTAGGAATAATCAGTTTCAAATGTAATCTTCTCTCTATTGATGATACCTGGTAATCCAATCCACTCTGAAATCCAATCAGATAAATACAGACTGCGGCTTTTTAAAATGCTGCCCCCTAGGAAGCTATTTGTCTTCTGCACAGACCAGAAGAAAACAGCAAGTGAGCAGATAATTAGAAAAACGCCTCTGATGAAGCTACAGTGAGAAACCATTTCACCCGCCAGGCTAGCACCCACCCTAGCAAAGGGAAGGGGGCAGGGGCTCCATGCTGCTGCCTGACGGAGAATGAACTCTACCAGAAGCGAGCTTTGTCAGGGCGCCAAGGAAGAGGCAGACCCTTTACCCAGCAGCTCCACATGGAGGACATGTGGTCTCTCCCACGTGCCTAGTGTGCCCTGTGTATTAGGCTCCACCCAGTGAGGGATGATCACAGAAGCAATGGCACCCACACCCATTGTCTATGATGTGTTTGGAAGAAGGGTGCACACTTCTGTGGATCGAGTAAGCAACCTAGCTCTTAAAGATGAAAACCAAACTAAAATGAGACGCCGCCAGGCAGTACGTGGAGTAGGCCACCCCTGGGCAAACTCACCACAGGTAAGCAGGAGGAGTGACTCTCAGTGAGCAAACGCCTATCTAAGATTACTCAGGAGACTGGTCAGTACTCCTTACCACCCAGAATGAATTGGTGGCTGGGTGGGACAACTGCCACTTTGCATCTTTTTGTAACACTTAAATTTTATACCATTGCAAGAAAGGAAACAAGAGTTTCCTGAAAGAAATAAGAAAAAACAAACAAACCAACCAAACTAATCAGTAGCCATATTTTTAAATAACTTAAAATAAGGCTATAGTCTATCATGGGTTTCAAAGGGTGGGGTGTGACTTCATAGGAGGTCACTTAACTAGCCATGGGGTTATAAAAGCCCTGGTAAGAGGAAAAGATTTCTGAACATACAGCTAACAAAAAATGAATTAAAAAAATCAAACCTTTAATGAACCTGTAATGTTCTTTTTTGTTTGTTTGTTTTTGTTTTTCAAGACAGGGTTTCTCTGTGGCTTTGAGACCTGTCCTAGAACTCGCTCTGTAGACCAGGCTGGTCTCGAACTCACAGAGAGCCACCTGCCTCTGCCTCCTGAGTACTGGGATTAAAGGCGTGCGCCACCAACGCCCGGCTAATGTTCTTTGCATCACTTATCCATGCTGCATTGCCCAATGTCCCCACTGCTTTAGACTGAACTCACAATGTGCCTGCTTAGCACTGTGCATGCTCTCAAACCATGCAACACCAGTGAACCCTGCTTGGACTCCCTTGGCAGGCTACTGTGGGTTATGGACAGCAGTGTTTTTACTGCACATACTAAGTTTCCTGCTCTTATAGAAACACATGTGCTTAACTACATAAAACAATGACTTGCATTGTTATTCTATCACAACTCCTCTGCATGTAGCTCTCACAATAATGTATCTTTGGACTGGATTGTATTTGAATATTTGATTTTAAAGACTTCTGTTTCAGTTGGGGGTTTGAAAATTGTAAAAAAAAACAAAACAACTTGTTATACAAAATATGGTAGAATTCCCAATAGTTTCTAAAGGGCCTTAGACATATTTCCGTGTTTTGTACTGTGTGTGTGTGTGTGTGTGTGTGTGTGTGTATGTATGTAAAATGGCACTCTAGGAACTCATGATTATAAAATCAAAATATCAATAATTTGAAAAATGATGAAGATGCTTTACATCTTTCAGCATTCAGCCAAGATTTCAGTGCATGTGTGTGTGTGTCTGTGTGTGTGCACATGTGTGTATGTATGTGTGTTGTGTGTGTTTGCGTGTGTGTATGTATGTGTGTGTTAATGTGTATGTGTGTGTACGTGTGTATGTATGTGTGTGTTAATGTGTATGTGTGTGTGTTAATGTGGGTGTGTATGTGTGAGTGTATGTATATGTGTGTTAATGAGTAGGTGTGTGTATGCATGTGTATGTATGTGTGTTAATGTGTGTATGTATTTGTGTATGTTTCTGTGTGTGTATGTATGTGTGTATGTGTGTGTAAGAGTGTGTATGTACGTGTAATGTGTATGTATGAATGTGTGTCTCTGTGTATGTGTGTTTATGTGTGTGTATTATATGTGTGTACATGTGTGTATATGTCTGTGTGTGTATGTGTGTTTATGTGTGTGTATATGTCTGTGTGTGTGTTTATGTGTGTGTGTGTATGTATGTGTGTATGTATGTGTCGCCATGTGTCTGTACAAGAGTTTGTATGGTATATATGCTAGCAGTGCTAGATCAGACATCAATGTTGGGTGAGTTCTTCAATCACTCTTCACTGCATGTTTTGAGACAGAATCTCTCACTGAACCCGGATGGAGCTAACTGATTTGGCCAGGTTGGCTGGCTAATGAGCTCCAGGGACCTCCTGTCTCTACTGTCCTCCCCACACTGGGATTACTAATAAGAACTGCCATGCCCAGCTTTTTATGTAGTACTGGGAACCCAAACTCAGGTCCTCATGTGTGGCAGGTGCTCACCAACTTTCCCCAGCCCCAAGACTTTATTCTTTATTTATTGCACGGATTAGTATGCAAATTTGTACTTATCTTTAATAAATGTTGAAAACACATGTCTACCAAGATATGTTCTTTAAATTTCTAAGATTTACTTGATTTTTAATTTTGTGTGTGTGTGTCTGTGTATGTGTGTGCATGTGCGTGTGCATGTGTGTGTATACATGAGAAAGAGAGAGAGTAAAGTTTAGGTGCAGTGATTTTTTTATTCTTTATGAGTCATTACCAGCAAATGTTTGATTTGTACACACACACACACACACACACACACACACACACACACATACACAAATGCATGCATGCATAAACCAATATACATAGGGTTGTAAAGAAACTTCTTGGGGGAAAAATGGTTGCAAGCAGCAAACGTTTAAGAAGCCCCAGCCGAGAGCAGTAATTCTATGAATCTCAAATGAACATGGAAGAAATCTTCTAGCTCATGCTCTCTAGACTCTGTGTTCCTTCAGAAGAGGACAAGCGACTTATCAGAGTCACAGAAGTGAGAGAAGGGAAAACCACTATGATATAGGCCCTTCCCGTGACGCACCCCCTCCCCCATCTCTTCATACACACACACACACACACACACACACACACACACACACACACACCATCCCTTCATCCGGACGAGATGCTTGCTGATATCACACATGAAATCTGGTGAGGGTAGAAGCAAGCTAATCTGTCAGGGTCTGACCAAGTCAGGGGCCCGGTTGAAACCACGGGAGGAGGGCTCGGTGTACCCTAGCCCACGGGGACACTGTGGCTAGTGTGCCCCTCCAGTGACAGGACTCCTTATGAGACATGAGCTTCAGGGCCTGTGCCCTCACTCCAAACAAAGGGCAGAAGCAGGTGCGGCCCTTGCCACCCACACTCCTCCAACTACATAGCAAGACATCCCATCTATGACTTCCAAATTCACTTCTTGGTTCAAATCTATTATAACTAGGATTGCAAACATGCCTTGTGATATATATATATACACACAAACTAGTGAATAACAAGAGGATCTTATCACAGAGATCAAACAAAAATCAAACAAAAGTGTTGTCACATCACACAGGTGGCTGAAAGATACTGAAAATAAGTTGCATGACATAAAATTTGCCAGAGGACCATGGAGCAGAAATGTTTGACACAATGGCATCTTTGCATCTTGCTGAGCTGTGGGCAGACCCGAGAACACAGGGGCTCTCGCTTTCTGGCTTCCGCTTTGAGGATGGGGGGAGGCGGGAGGGCTCACCTGGAACACAGTCAGGAGCGCTTGGGGAAAGTTGTCAAAGGTGCTTCGCTTGGTTTGGGTCTCATCAAAATTGAACTTCCCCCCAAACAGCTGCATCCCCAGCAAGGAGAAGATGATGATGAAGAGGAAGAGGAGCAGCAGCAGGGAGGCGATGGACTTCATGGAGTTCAGCAAGGACGCCACCAAGTTGCTCAGGGAAGTCCAGTGCCTGCAAGTCAAGAGGAAGGGGATGAGACCCAGAGACCACGGGCATCACCCGATCACGGAGGGAGGAGCCGCGCAGACGCCGGCACGGTGCCCTCATCTCTACCTGGTCACTTTGAAGATCCTCAGGAGGCGCACGCACCGGAACACAGAGACCCCCAGAGGAGACATGAGCTCCAGCTCCACCAGGATGGTTTCGGTGATCCCCCCACACACCACAAAGCAGTCGAACCGGTTGAAGAGGGAGACAAAATACGCCTGGAGGCCCAAGCTGTACATCTTCACCAGCATCTCACAGGTGAACAGAGCCAAGAGGACTTTGTTTGCAATGTCTGGAAAGACAAAGGGCAGGCGTGATCTTCATTCCCCACCCCACCTCCGTCCACCAGAGCCCATGGTAGACATGGCAAGGGCCCCCCCTGCCTCGCTGCCGCACTGGTGGCGGGACCCATCCTCACTGCTGCCGGCCACTACCCAGGTGTGAGTCTTGGAGAAGTCACTCGGTTTCTCCGGGCCTTGATTCCACGGACTAGGACATGGGAGAGGCATTTATCACATGGATCCTGAGCCTCCCAACCCTAAACCCTGTAAGACTGTGCACTGAGATCACGCTATAGGTTTTCTTTTTTTCCTTTAACGCCCTCATCATTCCCACATACTTCCCCCTATACACAGAGAGGAAATAAAAAATAAAAAAGTGACATCGGTGAGTGGCCACTTGTGGCATCCTAGTGTCGAGTTTTATTTTTTATTTATTTATATTCTCTCTTTGTATGGGGAAATAAATGTGTATGAAGATGTTGATTGTCCGACTAGATCACTGTCTGCCTTTTCCCCTTTAAGCAGGGCCTCTCACTGAGCCCAAGCTAGTTACAGGTCGTATTGCTGTGCCTGGCTTTTTACACGGGCACTCTGGGGATTTGAACTCTGGCCTTCAGGCTTGCACAGCAGACACTTTACTCACTGAGCCCTCTCCAAAGTCCCAAAGTAATTTTTTTACTTAGCAAGAAATGTTGCCAAGTAGGCTGAGGGTAGCAGAAGCAAGTTACAGAAAGACTACTCAAGAGTTCCAAATGGTCCTGTTTAGAATTGGGCTCTTCCAGGGACGACCTCACACACTCCAATTCTGGTCATCCAAAGCAGTGGGATAAAAACCACTTACCGAAAATACTAAAGTGGGGACAAAGCTTCCAACGTGGCAGGGAGAAGGACGCACATCAACTCCACAATTCCTGGGTCCTGGGCTATCTCAAGGCTGGGGCATAAGTTAGCTGGCATTGCACGGTGTAGGCAGTGCACCTGGTCCAGGGCTCGCCTGAGTCTGAATTGTTCTACTTCCTTCTCCGTTCTAACTGGAATGTTCTGCTACCCCACTACACTTCAGATGGATGACACTGAACAGCAGTTAGCTGCAAGCACCTCTAATTCGGAACAAAAGAAGACCTTCCAGCCATACCTTGAATCTGTGTCAGCCAGTCAGGCTGATTGTAGTGCTCAGAGGAAATAGTTAAAGTGTTGAGAAACACCAGGACAATAACCAGCCAGTAAAACGTGACAGATTTCACGGCAGCCCTGCACCTCCTGCGATTGAATCGATTCCAGCGACGCCAGCGTCGGCTGAAAAACAAGCAAACGTTGCTCCCTAAGACCATGGACAAATATGGCATCCCAGAGGCCAATACACTTTACTGAGTAACAGGAGTTCACATTTAGGTGGCTTAGGAAGGAAGGACATGAACCACCAGCAGAGAAGCGAACAGACCCCATGATAAAAACTGTTAGTCTTAGCAGCTTTCAACGGTACAATCTTGAATGAATTCTGCTATCACTTCCCCTGCTATAAATAACTCCAGGATCTGACATACGCAGCCTGAAAGTGGGTTAGACAATCTAGACTCATGTGCAGATTCAAGACTGCACGGGCACACATGCAAAGATCTTATAGGTGCCGTGTGGCACGTGGTCTGTTGGGGGCAGAGGGGGCAGCATCCCTCAGTATACCGTATGTGTCTTGAGTACAGCTCAGCATTGCACAAGTTACTAAAGCGATCCATGGCCACAACTCTCTTTTGAAGGAAGCCTGTGATCCTTTCTCACATCTCTGACAACCCTCTGGTGCCTCGTAGGTGTCAGAGCTGAGTGGGACGCGTGTCTCCAGGCTGACTCACCAGGCACCCTTCTAACTAGCAACGCTCAAAATATACCTTTAGGAGAAGATCCAATATTGAATCGTGTTTTCATAAAAATAAAACGAGCAGAACCAAACAGACACGTGACATGCCCCCACCTACCTTCCTGTCTCTGTAATTAGGGAAAGACGCTTTCTCCCTTTGCCTATCTCATTTCAGAAAATACTCCCCATCTGCCTGGCGTAAGTGGACAACAGGCACCACAGGAAACCAGGGAAGAGCCAGCCGGTTGCAATGTCCATTCTCTTCCGGCCACGCTGTCTCGGTGTCTGTCAAGAGGGCACTTCATCTGGAGTCTCTGGCTCTGGAGGAAAATCTAGGCTGCTCCCATGTAAGCCTGGCTGACTCGGCTGTGTTCCAATGCTAAACACATGCAACCCAGGAAGCCAACAAAGGAAGAGCAATGGGCAGCTTCACACAGAACTGGATCTGGCAAGTTGGGCTTTGCTTTTATTCTACTCTGCAGCTTCCGATGGGACAAACGGCATCTATAAACACGATGAGCAGCACAGACAACTCCACTGAGGACTATAACAGCCCACAGCTGGGCTCTTCTGGGACATGGGATCCGACATACATGGGATCCCAAAAGGCTGTGCTTGGTGGGTCTATTTTGCACAGTGGTACAGTAGTGACAAGGTCCACGTGAATACAACATCTAGAAGACCTCAGTGTTGTATCCCCTGGAAACGTGTGACACAACTAGTTTGACTCCCCCGGGCTCAACTATGTGCGGGCAGCAGGAAGTCTGCCTTCCTGGCTATGCAGGTGCCTGGTACTGGTAAATGGAGATGCATAAGGCACTTCTCCAGGGTTGTTGACCTTGACTGGCATGAAGGGTTATGGGTAAATGACAACTGTAAATTGACACAAGCCCAGCCCCAGATTTAAGGTGTGGGAACAGGGAGAGGGGAGCCTACATGCTCTCTAGAAGAGCCGGAGAAGGCATGTCTGCAAATTTAAAGAGTTGGGCTGGGCCATACTGACTAAGAGCTTTCCAGAGGCAGGTGGACGTCTCCTTAGAAAAGACATCAGGCCAAAGACCCTGGAGGGGACAGCACCAAGGCAACACACCTGTGAAAATAGGGCAGTCCGGCATGGCTACGGAGTTGGGGAGGACTCAGGGAGGCATGTCAGAAGCTGAGGTAGAAGACAAGAGGCAGGCGCCAAACGAACCAGGAAGCATTTCTACCGTCATTAGTAGCAGAGACTGACCAAACGGCCCTTAAATTTCACTCAAAGTCACTCTGAGATATAATTTACGTGCAGCAAGCTTATTCTCTTCAGGTCTACACTTGGTCAGACTCACACAGATTCCTTCACGGCCTGCGTCCCCAGATCAGTACTTCTAGTCTGTCTCCTATGCCCAATGCTCTGTTACAACTAGGCTGCCGGGAAACCGGAATCATGATACGCATCCTTCTGAGGCTTTTTACTCACCCAAATGCTTTTGAGATTCATCGCTATTGCTACATTACCTATAGTTTTTAAAAAATATCCTTAGCGTCATTGTGTGTGTGGATATAGGCATGAGGTGTGCTGGGTGGTGGGTAGACAGGTTGTACCCTGTGCGTGGTGGTCAGGGGACAACTCCAGCGAACTGGTTCTCCTCCACTCTTGAGTACGTTCTAGGCGAGACCTCAGGTCCCCTGCCTTGCACAGCAAGCACCCTCCCCGCTAAGCCATCCTGGTGGCCCTGTCAGTATTATTATTTTTTCTTCTTCCTGTCGCTGAGGAGCATTCCACCACAAGGATCAATCACAAATGATCTGCTAATTTTACCATTTGATGGGCACTGGGTTGTTTCTAGTTTAAAGCAGCTACAAATAAAACTACCATAAACACATGCCAGTTTTACAAGCCTTTCTCTTGCATAAATGCCCTAGAATTGGAAAGAGTGGGCCATACCATTAGTGTAACTTTGTGAGAAACCAATAAGTGCTTTTTCAAAATCATTATGTCAGTCAACATGTCTGCCAGCACTGCACAAAAAGACCCGCCAGCATCCTTGTCAGAACGTGGCATCGCCAGGTATTTGAACATGATCTACTTGTAGCAGTGTGCAGTGGTATCAAATTATGGTTTTAACTTGCATTTTCCTAGCATTTCCTGTGTTCATTTCATGTGCTTAGATATATATCATGCATTTCTCCTCTTTGTGACCTGCCTGCTAGAACCTTCTTTCCACTCTTTTTTTTAAAAATACTTTTTGTATTTACTTATGTATTGTGTATACAGTCTTCTGCCTGAATGCCAGCAGAGGGCACCAGATCTCATTCAAGGTGGTTGTGAGCCACCAAGTGGTTGCTGGGAATTGAACTCAGGACCTCTGGAAGAACAGTCAGTGCTCTTAACCACTGAGCCATCTCTCCAGCCCCTTCTTTCTACTCTTATAGGTTTGTTTTCTCATTGGTAGCCTTTACATGCTATTCTCTATTAATACTAGCCTTTTATCAAACATGGCTTGCAAATATTTTTATCAGGTCTGTGACTTTATTTTTTTATATTTATATTAAAACAAAGTCAGAAGCTCTAATTCTTACCGGGACCAACCTATCTTTTTTTTTTTCTAACATGGATTACATAGTGGGCAATGAACTTTAAGAAATTGGTACCCATGGTACCAATGCTTCTTCTCCTGTTTCCTTTTATAGTTATGTTTACTTTTGGACTAGTGCTTGTGTACGGCAGGAGAATGTCTTCAGTTGATACAGTGTGCATAAGGACACACACACAAAACGCAAGCGTGTGTCTCAATGAGACTCACAAAGTGGATGCTTAGGCTGCCTCCAGGTCAAGAAACGGAATGCTACGAGGTTGCCTCAGCTGTCTTCTTGAAACTTCTCTTATGGAAAAAGTTATGGGAAGTGACTGAAGGAGGCAAAATGTCGCTCGTGTGTTCTCGTGCCCTGCTGGTTCAAATGCACAACCCTGCCCCGCTTCCCTAAGGCAGGACTGGAACACCTAAACTGACTGAAATTTGAGATCCATGTTTAAGCTCAAGTCTAGATCAATTCTTTGTAAAAGTCAGAATTTAAAACATAACTTGAAAAACTCCAACACAAGCCCCCCCCTCACTCCCCAGGGGAAAGAAGACACTGACCTGAGTTTGGATTTCGAGATGGCTTGACTGAAAGGGAAGAAGACAATGTTAAGACTCCCATTTGGAAGATCTGAGCACATGCTCTCTCTCCCTCATCGCTGAAGCGGAGGCGGCTAGAGCCATGCGCAGAAGCCAGAACTCTGGTCCCCGTGCCTACAGCCGGCCAGCTGGGTTAAGGACAGGGCAGACGTCACAGTCCTACTAGAGCGCCAGGAGGTGGGCAGGAAAGAGAAAACTCAGATCTCCTTCCAGAGGGAAAACAGCACAGATGCAGAGCCCCTTCTCCTGCCGCCCCAGTGAAAGCCAGGAGGGCCTCTGCGGCCCGACCGCAACCCCTGTCTCAACAAAGAGCAACCGATGCTCCTGTGGGAACCGAATCCTCGCTCCCTGATCACCCGAACGGGTGAGGATGGGAACACGGCACACCACGGAGCCGAATGTTCTCATCGGTAAAGCGGGGATGGCAAATCCATTCCCCTTCACATCACAGGGAGGGCAGTGCAGGGGGTGGGATGGGGGCGAGCAGAGGCAAGATCACTACATGAGCCATCTGTGTGGGTACTTACAACGCAGTGTGACATTTTTACAAAACTCTGCCCCGGATGAGGTTGAGTTCTCTTAAAAACGACACCTGTGCTTTACAGGGGTGAGGTGTAAAGGGCACAGGCAGGCAGCAAAGGGATCCAAACAGCACAGGGCTCCCCGAAGCAGGCAGCTCTTAGCACATTCTGCATTGCTGCCCCGCCACGCCACGCCCCGCCCCGCCACGCCACACCCACGCCCCGCCCCCAACCTCTGCTACTGCAGCCCAGTCATCTAGAGGAAGCCTGGAAGCCTTAACGGGACGGTGTCCCGCATGGTTAGAAAAGGGTAGTGTAGGCAGGGTCTCCAGATGCGGCCCCACTCTGTGAAGGGACGTTTGAGTGTGTGGCGCACTCCGGTCAGCCACCCTGCCATTCAAGCTCTCCCTTCAAAGCGCAGACGCCAAACCCGACCGGAAGGAGAATTTGGCCTTTACCCCCACCGCCGGCACCCAGAGGGCCCAGTCTTGGCCGCGCCTCTTCTTTTCCACCAGCACCTAATGGACACAGCAGGTGGCTGGGTTAAGCAGCACACTCCCCAGGTTCTGCTTTAGCAGGGCGGTTTCACAGGCAGAGGCAGGGGAGATGCCGGGGTGGGCCCCACAGGCCTGACCCAGGAGGAGGGGGTTACCGGAAGGATGGAGGCAGCCTGTTACAGCCCAGCTGATTTCCTGCTAGAGCCCCAAGGCTCCACTGCCCTCTGGGGACATTTGTTTATTTATTTATTTATTTATTTTTGGCATCAGCGTCTGTAAACCACGGGGTAGGGGGGACTCCACACTCACCAGAGACTTCCACAGCTTCCCTGGGTCTCGCCTTCGCCACTTACGTTCTCGGTGTTCACAGATTCCGTCTCACTGGTGGGCATGCTAGCTGTGGGGGCGAAGAGAAGGCTTTAGACGGCGTCCTGTGTGGTATGGCATGGCAGAGGGTGGCCCGGGTGCAGACTCTCGGGGACCAGGGAAGAGGGCGAAGAGGCCAATCACGGGCGCCAGGCTGAGTAGCCACCGCATGTGAGCCTCCTGCTTTCTGGTGGACGCAGAGAAAGCCAATGTCACCTTCAGGAGACAATTCTGATGGCACCGATGCCTCCCAAGAAGAGAAGGCTCCACACTGAACTCAGCCACCGGGCTCAGAACAGGGTTGAACGCCCCCTCTCAGCATTACACCCCGGTATGGAGATGTTTCTGCTGTCCCCCTTCAGAATCAGGGGTTAGCTTCCATACCTCACACGCAAGCCTTTTACAACGCACCGAACACGAGCTATCTCGTTGCACAGTGGGATCCTGCACATCGCCCTTTGCGAACATTAGACTCAGTCTCGGGCAAGTTGGTCCGGCGTCTAGGCGCCACTGAGGCCAACGTGCACGTCCCAAATAAGCCGGCCCACAGGAGCGAGGTTCTCATGTGGGTAGTGTAGGATCTGAACAGCCCTCCCTGGGATTCTGCCTCAGGACGCAGAGCCAAGAGCAGGTAAGGGCTCTCGCCAGCCGCTGAGCAGACAGGACTGACTCGAGTCCCAGGTCTGAGATCTCAGAACCCTGCGTCCACATCAGGACCCTGGAAGAACTGGCAGGAATGTAAAACTTGATGTACCAGGGCCTGGAGGATCAGGGATTCCCCCAGAGTCAATATCTGACACATGGCACCGGTGGTGGGGGTGAGGTGGGGGTGGAGTGGTGAGCTGAAACTGGGGAAGCCACCTAAACACATACACATCTTTTCCTGAGGCAGAATCACAGTGAGAGCTGTTCAGATCTTACACTACCCACGTGAAAACCTCGCTCCTGTGGGCCGGCAGCTCCCTGAACACGATACCTCAAAACTCTACAAAAATGGGTTAGCAGAAAATAGAGCTATGGTGGACATCCTGAGGCCCAGCAGACACCGGGAGAGGCTACTGTTCTTTCAACCAGCTGTGGCTCCCATCCCTGCGGAGGAAGGAGATGAAGCTCACCACAAGGATGAAGGTGGGACCTGACCACAGACCCAGAGGTCAGATAGGCAGGCGTGTTCTCCACGGGCACAGAAGGAAATGCCCGACCCCTTTCCTTTGCCAGCACTCAAGAACCTGAGCTTGCCACTGCAGGAGGCTTAGCAGCCTCGTCCAGCCACACTCAGGCACAGGTTTCAGAAGCACGAACTCTGATTACACTCCTGGGACTTTCCTGTTCCTTCCTCCATGAATTCAAAGCAACCAACTACAAACCTCCGTTTGCTTCTGAGCCCATGGGGAAAAAAACCAACAGAGAAACAGATCAGGGCATCTCATCATCTGAGATGGGGCACGCTTTCTGCACACATGCACGCAGGCAGGCACACACACGTACACGCACACACACATGCATACATGCACAGCTCTTCCCCTGGTCTGTTCCATGCTCTCACCTGGAAGGGTTGGCTGTAAAAGCAAATGTGACTGTGTGTGGCAGATTGCCCTTGCAGTGACAAGGGGAAGACCACCACACCGGAGAGCCTTTCCAAATTCCCCCAGGAGTTCTTTGGAAACCAGGGTGGTTGGTGGTGTCCGAGGTTGAGGTGGCTTCACAGGTGCATTCAGGGGAATCCCCAGGCCCAGATCTATCTACCCAACTCATCCTGGGGGACATCCTGACTCTCTTTGGGCTTCAGTTTCCTAATGACAAAATGGTGGCATGAACCACATGTCCAGGGCCATTTCTGTCTGTGTAAGGTGCCTCACAATGCTCGTATTTCTCAAATCGAAACATTAGTATTTTCCAAAAGGAAACTTGGAAACAGATTAAATCCTTGTGGCTTCTACTCTATGGATGGCAAGTCTTTGTTTATAATCACAGAGTTCCCAGGAATATGATGTCTATTGATGGCACCAGGGCTATGGAAGGGTTAGGATGAGGACAGTGTCTGCTTGAACCCGGATTGGGTCCCTCAGTCTGAGCGAGGGACCCGAGCTCTACAGGAGGCAGCTGTGCTCTGCGCTGCCCTCTGGCTCTCTGATGCAGGACAGAGCCAAGTAGCCGCTCTCCCAGAGTGGCAAAACTTCTGGTCCGGAGAGCGGAACTGTAGGCCCTGCTGGTACTAAGCAGGTTACTCTCCACTTTCACAGGGGCTTTCAACTCGATGCTAACGACTGGGTCGAGCCTCCTTCATCTACATTTTATTAAAAACAGCTAGGACAGAAGAGCCCGTCAGTGCTGGATGAGGCTTCTGAAGGCACACCACAAACTGAGCGTCTGCACAGACGTGACGGCGCAGATGACCGCCGGAGAACAACCTTTGTACACTGTAAATGGGCACTGCTCTCATCCCTAATAAAAAGCTGATTGGCCGATTCGCTGGGCAGGAAAGGGCTGGGCGAGACAGCCTGACACGGAGAGAGAATTCTAGGAGGGAGAAGGGTGGAGTCAGAGAGTCGCTGGCACGGGCTGAGAGAGCGGGAGATGGGCACGCCGAGCTGAGGAAAAGGTACCAGCCCCATGGCAAAGGTTACATAAGAGATAAGGGTTAATTCAGGTGTAAGAGTTTAGTAACAGCCGGCCTGGCATTAATAATTCATATTCAGCCCTGGAATCAGTTGTCTGGGACTGAGCCTGGTCGGGACAGGAAGCGTCCATTTACAGACGACCACGCAGATGGCCTGCCGCAGGGATACACAGCTCAGACGCTGGAAGCTCACCTCCGTCCCACCTGGCGCTCGCCCGTGCAGCAAGCCGTTATCTGCAGTTTCCGTGCAGATGCTCGAGTGGGCTGGCAGAGTTGCAGGGTTGGTACCCGCGAAAACCTCCCACACTTGAACTGTGTGGAGCGATAGCCTCTCAAACTGAGCAGCCTGCTATCCACAGGTGCACTGTTGCCACGGCTGTAGACCACACCCAGGCAGTCAGCCCGGCATCTGGAGATGGCAGCAAGCTACAATGGCGACTGTCTCGACTTTACACAAGTCAAAACAGGAAGACTTGCAGAGATTCATGTAATAAACCTGCAGGCAACTCCCCCCCCCGCCGGGAATAGTGTCATGGCAGAGCAACGACCCTTTTCCCTTCAGCAGGGAGAGAGGGTTCACCCCTGGACAACGCCTGGGCTCTGTTAGGGTGCAGGGAGGCCTCTCAGAACCTCCCACTGTCAGGAACATGTTAGGGGCATCTGCATAGGGAGAAGCTGCAAGTCCATTTCTACTCCGGGGACTGAGGCCTCCGGGTAGAGCAGGAGGAGAGGCCTAAGGTTGGGGGGGGGGAGAGGAGCTGGAAGGAAGCTGGGGTGCGGCTGTGGGTGAGGAGATGCCAGGAAGGCGGCCTAGCACATCCTGGGCTGAGGCCTTGGTGGCCTAACCAGCCTAAGTCAGGCCCTGCCTGGGGCCACTCTCTGAGGACACGGGTCACAGGGTTTTCTTTAACATCTAGAACTGGGCCTGGCTGCCACAGTGAACTGTACTCCATGAATAAACGAAGGACAGACTTTTTTTTTCAGGTGGGCTTAACACCTAGCATCTTTAACCAACGTGCAGATTTCCTTATCAGCTTTCACTCCATGGACAACATGCTTCTCAACCAAACATGTCAGCTGTATGAATCCAGAGGCAGGCCCAGACATGTCTGGAGGCACACCCGTGCCCACGGGCACACATGGATACGTGCGCCTATGAGCCGGCCGGTTCAAGCAGGCAGCACTTTGGAAAGACACTCACTGCCAATAAAAGGATCATTTCTTTCAGAGACATCAGAGACTTCAGAAGAGAGGTCAAGAAAAGCCCGAGGCTCAGCTAGGGACATTTTGTGTTTGTTGTGTCTGCGCTTAGTTACCTGAGCGGCAGGAGAGTGTCTCCTCCCGGATCCATTCACCTCTGACCTGCTATCCACAAGAAAACCAACACCCACAAGTTGTCTGGTTTTGGAACCAGCAGTTGGGAGTAGGAGTCCCTTTACACTTTGCCAGCTCTCCAAGGAGACCAGGGCCCAAGCAGCACAGGGAACCCACGGCCCGCCACCCTCTTGGGTAGTCAGGAGTCCTCCACCTGCCCAGAAGGACTTAAATCTGAGTCCTCTCTCCAGGCTTAATGTTCAGGAAATACACAACATAGGAGCGGATCCTGAAGAGCTTAAGCCAGTCCCGAGAGCCCCAGATCCTCCAGCCACAGAAGGCTTTTCACATATACCGCAGAGAGCTCCCTGCCCTCCTTCTGGAACCTGTCACAACAGCAGCTGCTTTCACAGATGTCCTGGTCCTCTGAACTGTGTTCGTCTGGGTTTGCTTTTAAAATTATTTTATCTTTTGAGTGTGTGTGTGTGTGTGTGTGTGCGTGTGTGTGTGCGTGTGTGTGTGCGTGTGTGTGTGTGTGCCTCGTGCATATGAGTGGCCAGAAGCGGCTCTTAGACGCCCTGGAGCTGCAGCTACAGGCTGGTGTGAGCATCCTGCGTCGTCGGTGTTGGGGACCAAGCTCAGACCTCTGTAAGAGCAGGATGTGCACTTAGCTTATTATCACTGAGCCGCCTCTCCAGCCCCTTCATCTGTTCCTCTCAGCCATCTCCCACACTCAGCAGCCCCTCTGCGCTGCTAACGCTTCTCAAGGAAGTGGGGGGGGGCAGTGAGGCCAAGCAACTGCTCAGCGGCAGAATCGGGGTCCCTTCTGTCTTCCTATCATTTCCCTGACAACCAAGAGCTGTGACAAGCGTCCCAGGTGGCCCCCAAAGGCATTGACACACGCCTGTGCTGACACCTGTTGCTGACACACGGTGAGAGGCCTCTGTAAGGCAGCCGCACTCATCTTGGGAAATGCGGGTCAAGGTCAGACCAAGGTCTCCAGGCCTAAAGCAAGAACTATGCCTAGAGAACTACTCTTCCTTTGTAACCGTGGAAAAGGTGACCCAACCCTCCTCGCAAGGTTCCCGTCCACTGTCACCAGCAGAAGAGTTGGTCTTTGTTCCCATCAACACAAGGCCATTTCTCACTCAGGGAAGCCAGTCTCCCAAAAGCATAGGGCTGTTTCCTCTCTCTATCTCAGAAAACCAGCAGAAATTCACAAGCACCCATGAAACGTCACAGTAGCCTAAGCTGCTATTGAAGAAGGTTGGCCCAAGGAGGGGGTCACCCCCTTAACAGTGATGATACCCCCCAAGCATGTCAACAAAGCACCCCCTGTTCACCAGCTCACAATAAACACTAAAGCCAATCAGGTCAGCTCCATCCTTGGCCTGCCTTGATGCCTGAGTTTTAGTTTATCCTTCTCATCCACTTTTGGGGGGCGCAGTGGACCAAATACTTTCCACTGGACAATCCCATGATTCCTTCCCTCCTTTAGGTCTTCTGAAGATGCCAGGACCCTAGCACCGCCCCCATCAGACCGCCCCACTTCCCTTCACCTCTGAGCTCAGCATTCTTGCAGGAGACAGCGGCCACTCCAACAGAACCACGTAATGTGTCCCTCGTCTGTCCCAGCAGCTGGCTGCTTGTCCCTACAGTCCACACGCTCTCAAGAATTCTTCCTCTTCCTGACTCCATCTTGGTGTTAGTACCTGGTCAGGCTGGTAGGTATTATCCAGGCAGAGTTTATGCTGCCGTCCAACTGCAGCAGTGACCCATACATAGACAGCCGGGCAAGGAGCCAGGTCTCATTCTAAACAGCTGTGTGGCCTAACTTATTCTAAACAGTAATGGGCCTAACTGCTTTGCCGAGGGGTTAGGGGATTGGGTGAGAGGTACCATCAACATTATTTTGGACCTAACTTTTTATATTCAACTGTTTCCCAAAAGACGCATGACCCCCAGATTTTTCTTTTTTCTTTTTGATCTGCAGCTACTAACTTTAGCATGGCCTTGGGTAGATGAACCAGAGACAAGAAGGCCAAGGAGAAATTTGAAACATGTAGCCTGGGAGGGAAAAAAAAGTCAGTCAAATAACATCATTAGAATTTCTAACCACTTTAAATTTACAAGCATCTTTTAAGGACTTTTCAACGGTGTCTTCCAGGCTAAGAATATTCATTCACACTGAATCAAGTGAGTTGCCTCAGTTGGTTCAGCTGCCATCTTGGTAACGCCACACATGTTAGGGAAAGGGAAGAAGAGTACAGCAGGACCAAGCACCAGAGAAATCGAACAAAGGCAGCATAGGCATCTTCCACACAGCACACGCAATTCACACGATGCCTATGCGAAAGGGGAGGGTGCTTAGAAGCGTCAGGCAGGGAGCTTCCGGAGAGCAAGTCCACCTCAGTCAGTGAGTTACCGTGATCTTTAGCCCTGCGTTGTCGAAAGCAGCAAAACTTCCTTTTCTTCTTATCCTCTCTTAGCAAGTCAGCCACCGTGACCCCTTCAGGTGGAACACAAGGCAATTCCAGGACCACACAGCAGAGGGCAGCAAGGGCAGCAAACATAACACAGTCAAGCAGGCAGGGCAGGGACAGCTGGTCCCCGCGCACAGCAGAGGAGGCCTGAGACCGCGCCTCTGACCCACACCTGCCACCCCCCCCCCCAGGTGAGGAGTCTATAGCTCAGGATCTGAAGGGATGGGGGCGGGCGTCTGCCATGGCCACTACGAAACCTGTCCTTAAGAAACTGTTCAAAATAAAGCAGTCAACTAGCTTTCTGGACACAGGGTTCACTTCCTCTTCAACCCTCCGGAGCACAAACTGCCTGGCATGCTGGATAAAGTTGGCTATCGCGGGGAGATTTTTGTCTGCTTCGCTTTGAGGCCTCCCTGCCCTCCCCGCCTCACACCACCGCTGCCGGCTGGAGCGGCGACACTCATGGAGGTGCAGGGCTTGGGTTCAAAGCCCAGTTTGGCCACTTCACAACCAGGCAGCCCGGGGAGGCCACGACCCGGCCCTTCCACGTGCCTTGATTTCCTCATCCGTCAAGCGCCCTCCCGCCTCACACAGCAGAGTGGAGAATGAAAACGTCATGTGCCCACAGCCCCTGATATACACAAAGCCCCTGATAAATGCAAGTCCCTACTCTGTGACCTTCGAGTAAATAAATAACAGAATGCTTGGGCGTGTGATGAATGTCACACTCCAAGCATCCCGCAGGGCTGATTTAGCCGTCCCAGAGGACACAGGGCCGGGGCTGATGACGGCTCCCGAGACTAAACAGTGAACGCTTCATCAGACCTCTGACCCCAGGGGGTGACCCTCCCATCAATCTCCCCAGTCCAGAGAGGGCAGATGACCGGACACACATTCATCATGGACCACCCACCGCTGCTGTTTGTTCTGTAGCTTTTAGTAGAACAGTTGCAACTCTGAACTTCTTCCCTGGAATATTTTGTGATAAAAAGCAATCTTATAAATAAAAAAAGTCAAATGTGATCTTTTTGTTTGTTTGTCTTGAAGGATAGATGACCTTGACCCTCTTATCCCCCTGCCTCAACCTCTCCAGCGCGGAGATTACGGCACACAAGGTCCAGTTTATGAGGGGCTGGAGGCCAAACCCAAAGTTTGTATATGTCAGGCAACTGAGTGGCAGCCCTCAAATACAGTCTTTCAAACAGGCCAGCAAAGAGCCATGACTTTTATTTGCCACCCCTTACTCTCTGCTACCTTTGAAGCAAACAGTTCAGGAAAAAAATAATCAGGTAACAGAGACTAAAAGCAGCCAGGTGACCAGGTGACCTTGAACCCCTAGGTCCATGGTGGAAACAGTGAGGGGCAGTGGCTACCTCTCTGGGACCAGCGAGGGAACACAAGACAGCCAGGTACTCTTGCGGGCGGGAGGGGCTGCAGGTACCCCTCCTTCTTCCTTTGGGTATCAATCATCACTTCTTAGAGGGATTACTGGTCCCCAAGAGTCCCCACAGGGAGGCTTCCATGTTCCATTTTAGAATGAGCTCCCTTTAAAATGGTTTCCTTATTTTTAATTTCTTTTTTTTTTAAAAAAAAACTAATCGCTGACAATGAGAAGAGATTAAAATAGAATTTTAGGCTTCCAGATTTTAATAGCCCTAGAATAACGCCATTGTTCATGAAGAAGCAGCTGCACGTGTCCAAAAAAAAATCAAATGCGCACACATACGCGCACACACACACAGAGGCTTGGCAGGATTTTTTAAAAGAAATTTGAAGTTCAGCAAAAAGTTAAATAAATTATCCTTGAAAATTCCCCAAGTGCTTAGGGACTAACTTCTGAGATAATTTTGTCTGTTCAATTAATTGTGGTGCAGCCACTTTCCAATGGCAAGTCTGCACTGCCTTAAAAGGTCCAAGGGTACTCACAAGAGACTTCCCCTGTCACCAGCACCAGATAGCCAGGTTAGAGACTAACCCTGCACAGCCCTCCAGAGAATTCTCAGACCAGTGGGAGATTCAGTCACTGACACAGGTCAAGACTCAAAGGCTCCTAGCTGGAGCTCCCTGTGACTCTCTCCCAGGAGCAGACAAGAGAGGTCCCCTCCCATCTGCTTAAAGAGCCGGAGCCTGTGGAGCCAGGCAGGGGAAGTTAGTTGGGAGGCCCTCGGGTGGGTGGTAAGGTACAGCCAGAGTCGGGTGTCCAGACTCAGCCTGCTCAGCGGTGTGACTGTGACATGTGATAGATCTGAGGGCTTTGGCAGGTAAAGCAAGTGCTTCCCTGGCTGCTTGATTTCATCCCTGCTCCCTGACAGCAAGCCCAGGACAGCAGAAATGGACCTCCAGAGACAGCAAGCATTACTACCGGGTCCCACACGGCGTTGGGGTAGGACATTTCTTTGCCCTCCCTTTGGAGAACTCTGCCGTTTCTGAACAAAAATATAGGTGGAGGGTCCTTTAAGAGATCCTCAGCCTGAGATTGGCTGGAGAGCTGGCAGATCTGCTCCACAGAGTCAGACAGCAGCAATAACGACTATAGCTCCAGCTGCAGGACGTCCCAGCCCGGGTGTGAGTACCTACACCCAGGAAGGATGACCCTTAGTCTGCTGTGCTCACCTAGGCTGGGGCTCAGCCCCCAGGGAGGACTTCCCTTTCATACCCTCAACCGCTCAGCATCTCGGAGGAGACTGCCCATTTGCATCCAAGATCCAGCTGATGGCAGTAGCCAGTCAAATCAACATCCCAAGCCAGCTGGGGGTAAAGTCAGGAGTCTGGCGCTGCCGCCGGCTGCCCCCGCCCTCCACCCCCCACTCTGGGAGCAGGGGTGAGGTGTGAAGTGCAAGGTGAAGGAAACCATATACACCCTGGGATAATGCTGACACCACAGTGAGACCACAACACCATCACTTCTCCACCTGCTAATTAGATGCACAGGGACAGTCCTGAGGCTCAGCCCATGCAGGTGGCAGGGCCACCACTGTTTGGCAGTCAGGGACATAGGAGCCTGGCTGAAATCTCCCCTGCCCCACCCCACCCCACCCCCGCGTTGGTTTTCCAGCCATGGCAGAAATTTCACGGCAATGCCAGGGAAAAGCTTACCAGAACAGCTTCTCCAGAAGGCTCAGAGAGACTCCATCCTCACCCGGGGGAGGCCCAGAGGGCTCTCCTCCCAAGTCACATGACTCTCACCATGGTTCTTGCTGCCTAGGATCGATTCCTTTAATAGAGAGCCCTGATCATCGAGGCTCTGGCAATCTGGTAACTCCAGAAGCGCCATGGGCCTCACAGCATAGGAAATGGCAGCTAAAGGACGACCTCAGAAGTACCGCTCTCTCCAGTCAAACTGTCAGCCGCTCACCACTGAGCACTGGAGGAGCCAAGCTCACACCCAGAAGACGCAGAGCAGCTTTACCGGCTCAGGAGTTCATTCCTTGGTTAACTCTGAAGGCCTGAGTCTCAGAGAGGGTTTTTTTTTCTTCATGACAATGTCTCTAAATAATACACTCATGTGCTCTGAACATTGTCACTCTTCTGTTTCTTGTCCATGCCATTTCTTCAGTCTGGTCAGCCTCTGCCCTACCTTTTGTTGACTATGGGATGCTCCTCCCCCAGAGCAAAGCAAGGATGCTGCCTCTTCCACTCACCACCTAGACCCCCTGGGCTCTAAGGGTAGACTGTTGGTCTCTCATTGCCATGATGGCTTCTGAACTCCGCCCTTGTCCCTTTCTCCATGGCAACCCCTCTGGAAGGCAGACGCTTCATAGATTGGTTGTCTCCTAGTCAGGGTCTTTACAGAAAGCGGCAGGACAAGGGAGACGCCAGCCTCACACAGAGCAGTGATCCCTTTAGGGCCATCAGGAGACATCAAGTCCAGGGAAACCCACGCTTCACAGCACAGGTCATTAAAATAAATAAATAAACAAATAAAATCCTCTACCACAATGGAAGCTGGGATCACTGTCTATCCCTAGATGTGGACCACCCAGAATACGGCGAGTCAGTGGCGTGCGTGGCACATTTAAGCCAGAGGAGAAGGTGCTTGCCTCAGGAGAGGAGTCGACACTTCTCTTGTTTATACATAACGCGCTGTGTTTTGAGCTTAGGAGGGGTGAAGCAGGTGGAGGCGGGCTTCCACAGGCCAGCACTGCGAATGAAGGGAAAGTCTGGACAGGCTCCGCACCGGTTAGCTTTAGTCGGCTTGACTCGAGCCACAGCTAGCTATCTTGGGCGAGAGAGCCGCAGGTGAGGAAGTGCCTCCATCGGCCTGCCCTACGGGCGAGTCTGTGAGGCGGTTTTTTTTCCTTGACTGATGATTGATGTGGACGGGAGCCCCCCCTCGCCCATAATGGACGGTACCACCCCTGGACAGGTGGTCCTGGGGTACATCATCAGCCAAGCGAGCCGGGGAAGAAGGACCCAGCCGTCAGCGTTCTTCCCTGCCCCTTGGCTTTAGTTCCTGCCTCTGGGTTCCTGCCCTGACTTCCTGCTGCGACAGACTATAAACACTCAGAGGAAACAAACCCTTCCCTTCCCAAGATGCTTTTAGTCATGGTGCTTTATCATGGCAAAAGAAAGATATCCATAAGACAGGCACCCGCAGCTGGGCCTAAACAGTGTCCTCAGTCTCAGTAAGGCTACAGAAGCCCTGAGGGGTGCTGGGGGGGTTCGGGTGAGCTAATTGCCAAGGAGAGCTGCACCTGCAGCCAGCACACATGTACAGACACATGCCTGCCGACCCATCAGCCCTATCTCCCACGAGAGACACAGACACCCCCACCTTGGCCCAGAAGACCTCCCACTGTGTCCAGGGAGCGGCGCCCTCATCCTCAGGCATTGAGGCTCTGCCCCACCCGCCCTGCCCCACGCGATGAGCAGGGAGAGGCCAGAACTCACAGGGTCCTCATCAGCACACCAATTTCACAGGCAGTCCCAAAGACCCATGGCAACATAACACATGCCCCTCCCGCCATGACAGCTCAGAATAGAGTCCCAGAATAGAAGAAACCATGTGGCTATCTTGGTTGTGTGGTCTTTGCTCACTCAATGCTAGCTCCAGGCCAAAAGCCTTCTCCTGCCACTCGGCTGCTCTTCCGGGCCATGCCAAGTGGCCCCATTTGTCCTGGATCTTCATCCTAGCTCCTGAGGTACCACTCCCCCTCGTGTGACCTGAAGGTAATTTGTGGGTGGGTCTAAAAAAGGAACCAACCGTGACTCCAAAGCGCCACTGGTCAGCAAGAGCTTACTCAACACATTCTACACGGAAGGGAAGGGTCAGTCTTGGTTTCCCAGGCCCCCTCAAGGGACGTCGCTCTCTAAACAGGTTCTTCTCAACAGACATCGCTCTCTAAACAGGTTCTTGTTCTACGCTATCAGCTACTCCAGAGCGGAGACAAAGCAAAAAGCATCATAGTCAAACGCACCGTTAGATTTCAGTTTCTGCCCTTTCTAAGGCCCAAATGCTTCCAGGATGACTAAGAGCACGTCTGTGGGAAAAGCATGTGGCAAGAGAGACACTGTGATTCACAGAAGCAATTAATTCCAGGGGCTGATTACTGGGCCTAGGCCTCCTGCTGGGAGCACTTAAGGGTGCCTAGTGCCACAGTGTGGAGCCCAGGCAGGTGGGCTGCCAGGCAGCCAACACTGACTCACTCACTCACAGGCCTCTTAACAACTGCCTAGCACAATCAGCTGGTTTCTCCCCGACCCTGATGGCCTAAGCAGTTGGCTTGGCGTGGAGAACACTGGAGGGGGGGGCATTTCACACAGCAGAGGGGGAAGGAGCCTGCTCCTCAAACCCTTGTGCGGGGCGAGCTGCTCACTCAGGTGAGGGAAAAGCACACTTGCCCTCCCTTGTTGCTCAGAGTTGAGATGTGTCTCCCTCTACCCCCCTGTCCACACAGACATGGGCTTTCTGACTTCCCAAGGTCCACAATGCAAACCTCAACTGAGACAGCCACCTTCATGAGAACCTAAACCCCCATCCGTGCGTGACTCAGGTGGGGACCCAGATACACCGTTCTCTCTGTGATGTGACGTCCAGGGACGGGGGCACGGGGGTGGGGGGTGGCAGGAGGGTGTGGTCAAGCCGCAGGAAGGGCAACACCTACTGTTTCGTTTGCCTTCCTCTCCGCCCTCCTCCTCGTTCTCGGGATCTATGTCTTCTGCTTGGGTGATCCAGTCCAAGTAGCCCTTGAGATCCTCCTCCAGCTGCTGCTTCTCCCGAAGCTTCTGGAAATCGCCTCGCGCTTTAGCCTTCTCCCTTTCCTTTGAGAACTCTCTGAGAGGCGGGAAGAGAACAGGGCACCTGTCAGAGCATCCACGGAGACCTGCACCCGTGAGCCATCTGCCCTGATGTGCAGTGTGAGCGGTCTTACGGCAGGACACAGTCATGAGAGCATAGAAGTGGAGCCACACACGTGCACAGGACGGAAGACAGCGTCTCCTACGCACAACCGTGGGCGTCGGGGTTGCAAAGACCACACTGACACACATGCATGACTTGTTAGGAGGTACACTCCCTTTGGGATGGCGACATCAAGAAGCCCACACCCAAGACATCGTGGGCTGTCACAGTGGGCCTTTTTGCCCTTCCCACCCCCTTCATAGAGAAGGGTACCAAGTGATCCAAACTGAGGTCACAGAGAGCACTCAGAGCAGTGGGCAGGGATCCAATAGACCCATCTTACAGCCCAGGTCTCCCTTCCCGGGCAGGACCTCCAATGCTGGAGAAGGGCTCCTGTTTGTCTTAACCTAGGCCTCTGACCGTGATCTCTCCAGGGCTGCCCCGTCGGAGGTGGAGAGGGGTGTGACCTGCTGCCCCCCCCTTTATAGGAGCATCTGCCCTGGACAGGTTTTAGCAGATGCACAAGCAAGCGTCCCCGACTGCTTGCTGTTTTCTCTGCCTCCTACGACTGCAACCCCATAACCGCGTATCTGTGCACATCCGCAAAATCCGACGCCTGTGCTGGCAAGTCTGAGAGTCGGGTGCACGGCTGGCCAGTCTTTACAGACAAGGAACCGTCTGTTAAGAGGAGCCAACATACGTGACTTGTGGGTCTGGGGTGCACATTAAAGCTATTGGGAAGCAGTGAGGTTACGGGCGGAGAGGCTTCTGCACCCAGACCCGGCATGTGACAAGCATGCCCTCTCCCACCACCCTCCAGCCAGTTCAAAGTCAGCACGGCTCCCTCCCATGACCTCACTAGCTCTGGCAAAAGGGCTAGGGCTTCCTTTCATCCAGCCAACTAGCTCCCTGCTCTCTCTCCTCACAGCCCTCCCTCAACTCCAGGCCTTTTGGGGAGCTGAATGGGCGCCTGTACACCCAGCAAGGCTGGAATCTTTGCTCAGAGGTTTCTCTCTGACCTCAAGGAAGGCCCCCACTCACTGCCAGATTCTCTTCACCACTCTGTCCTCTGAAAAGCAGGGGAAGGGGCTGGGGCTCTGGGAGTCCCAGGTGCAGAGCACAAGGCGTGGTGGGATAGGGGTCAGAGGGTATGCAGGACATGGGCTCTGCCCTCCAACCAAAGCACCCTGGGGATAAGTCTCAACACAGAGGGGACTTTGCAGGGCTGCATCCTGCTGCTCAGACACAGCAAGCTGCGCAGACAGACGAGGTTTCTATAGTCCACCAGAGTGTCCCAGAGCATGAGCAATTAATTTCAGCTCAGCTCAGCCCGGGACATTCGCTAAGTTGTTCTCAGCTCTAAGAGTTCCGTTCTGTCCAGAGCCGCGTCCTTGAGCAAAGCCCAGAAGACCCGTATGAGATGCACCCACAGGGAGCTGCATGAGACAACCTGTTCTTAAAAACCCGGGTTATTATTACTCATGTTACAGGTCTCTGTTACGTTTTGACTCTGGTCTCAGTGCACTAAGTGCAGATTACTATGTACTGACACATGATCCGGGCACTTTAAGAAGCGACAGAAGTCACTAAAATGTTACCCCGTGCAGCCAAGAACATCAGAAAGTGATACTCGACTTAAACAACACCACGTTTACTGCTGTACGGTAGGACTATAAAAAAATCCCTCTCCTGTCTCTTGTCCACCGTGGTGGGACATAGTGAAGATATAGCTAAGCAGGCATACGTAAAACCCTGCATGTCTCAGAACGGAATCTTTGCCAATACCTGCCCCACTGTCTACTCACAGGAAAGGGACCCTTCCACCCCCACAAGCTCCTGTCCCAGAGGGTCTCACCTCTGGTCCACTGCACCGGCATCCTCAGAGGATGACGAGAAAGATGAGTCCATTTTAAAGAGAATTCCATCGCCATCTAAGGTGCTCATGACCAAGAGGTTAAATGACGGTCACTACTGCAAAAGCTTACTACTGGAACGAAGCTATTGGTAGAAATGGTAAGAATTCTGCAAGTGACCAGAAAATCTGAAAACAGTGACGTCTAGGATCCTGGCTGTCTGAGTCTCAAGTTTTGTGGTGTGTGTGTGTGACCAAGGTAAAATATAACAGTGTCTGTATGAAAATACACACATGACCTGTTGCCCTCCGCACGTGAAGGAGGTGGAATAGAGAAACAGACATATTTCTACACGGCGTATCTGAAAGAACAGGAACAAGGTTGGGAACATCTGAGGAGACGGCTCCAGGTCAAGCGCTCACATGAAGACCCGAGTTTGGATGCCAGGCATTTGAGGGGGAAAGCCAGCTGTGGTCACATGCCCGTGACCCCAGTGCTGGAGTAACAGACAAATGGATCCTAGGGACTCACTAAACAGCCAGTCTAGCCAAAATGGCAAGCTCCGGGTCCAGCAAGAGACTCTCTTGGGAAAGTGAGATGGAGACTTATGGAAGGGGGCACCTGACACTGACCTCTGGCCCCTGCATGCACACACGGCACCTGCCTATGCAATAAGGTATATAATCCCCTTCCCTGCCCCTTTGGGCACATGTACTTAAAAAGAAAAAACAACAAACAAGGATGAGTAGGGTAAAAGTAAAAAGGATGGAGTGTTTTTCCTAAGCATAGCGTTTTGTACAGCTTTGACTTTTGGAACCAAATGTGTTTTTACATTATAGATTTCTAAAAAATCAAATCAAGTATGGAGTGAAGCAAAAATGCCCCTGCACACGCATTTAAAGTAAATCAAAACAAGTTCATCCGACTGTACTGTAAACACCATAACCATCCTGAAGGAGGAGGTCAGAGGTCAGGGACACAGCTCACAGCTCATGAACACACAACAGTGCGTCCTGGGTAGGACTAGGGCAAGGGGAAGGAACTCGGAAATGCCTTGGGTTCGCTTAGGTTTGTTTGCTGTGTGCGTTGAGGCGCGGCTGGAGAAGACTAGAGACAACTGTCCAAGAGACCAGATGCAGGATCTGCAGAGGCCTGGAGGGCTGGGGCGTTGAGACAAGCGATCTTGAGCGTGCTGGGATTATAGGAGGTACCCTGCAGTTGTGAACCCATGCTGTGAACTCAGCATTTCTAAACAGCTTCCTCTAAAGCTCCATGTCTGGTTGTTTAACAGACACTGGTACCTAAGAGCATGCTTCAGTGTGCACACGCCCACATTATGGAAACCTGTGTGTCCTAGTTTCACCCGTGGCAAGGGTCTAGAAACAGTCCTCCTAGTCAGTATAAGAATGCTGGTAAACACACCTCCTTTCTCAGAATACTCCTCATTCCAAGGCATAATAATAATATTAATAATAAAATAATAATAAAGCCAAATGTGGGAGCACGCATCTGCAATCCCATCACCTGATTGGGAAGCGCTAAGACGTAGGACTGCACATGTTAAAAGCCAGTCTGGGCTATACAGCAAGTTCCAGGCCAGCCTGGGCTATAGCCTGATCAAAACATCAAACCAATGAAGACTCTGTAATTGTTCTAATCAATTGTGAATTTATGGGGCTGCCAGTCCATTCCAGATCATTAGTTAGACCGGTATGTTCCTCACGGGAGTTGACCCTGTTGCCCATTTTTTTTCAGGTGTTTCTTTTCAAGTCTCTCTCCTGAGATGTCCCCTTCAAACAGGAATGCCAGAAGACAGCGTAGAAACACGCACACGGTCTACGGCCATACCACCCTGAACGCGCCCGATCTCGTCTGATCTCGGAAGCTAAGCAGGGTCAGGCCTGGTTAGTACTGGCTAGTACTTGGATGGGAGAAACACGCACACGCACTCCTTCTCAGAGGCCAGAACACATCCCTCTGGGACAGAAAGCCTAGCACTGCTGGGATCACTCGCCCAGGCCCAGACATGCCATCTGGAGCAGCAACTACCAGCTGCCTGCCCTTCCCTGTATGAACACGGGCCTCGTGCGGCGGTGGATTTTGCATGGCTGGCTGGTTAGAAAGCCATCCATTTTATTTCCTCTTTAAGGAACCATCATTCAACAACAACAACAACAAAATCCCTCTTAGGGCCAAACAGAATGACTACTGTGAGTCTTATGTTGTCCAGTCTGTGTACAGCTCCTCAGTCACAGCTGCTGCGGCAGGAGTTGATGAAGGAGTAACTCTCCTTCCCCCAGGAGCCCGCTGCAAACCTGGCTGCATTTTGGTGGTCTCCCATTCGGAATGCCAACTGCCTCTTTATCATGGCCCCCGGAGTCAAGGCCATCTCCCGGCTGCTACTCCATCTTTATGTGTGCCCAGCTTATGAACGTGCACCTTGTACTCTTGATCGCTTGACTCAATCACCCCAGCCTGTTGAGCCAATGCCAAAATTCTGGGGGACCAGAGCAGACTTCCCTTCTCGTCTCTGAATTCCAGTGCAGGTCTCATATTTTGGGGGGAAGCACTCCTTAATTCCCACTTCTAAATGGGATCTGAAAGCCTCTGAGTCATCGAGAACCAAGACCCAGATATGTTCCTGCCCCTCCCCCACCCCCATAGACAGATTCCTTCTCAAAGCCTTTGCCATAGTCACTGATGTGTGCTTACTGGGAGGGAGGCGTGGCTCTAACCTCGCTGTGTGGGCACCGAGACTCTGTGAGGCCAGGCATACCTGCCCGTGCAGCTGCTAAACGCCACTCCTCAGGACCACATCATAGGCACACAGGGAGCAAGGGCAGGGAGCGGGTGCATGGAGGGATGAGACTCATACCAGGCCAGAGGGATGGGAACAGAGCTCAGTGGTCGAGGACCGACCTTGGTCCTAGGTTTAATCAATCCCCAGCGCAAGGGGCAATGTCTGAGGCAGTCTGCAAAGACCCCCCCCCCCAAGTTCTAAACTCAGGGTCTTCAGTTGCTGTCTTCTTGTGAGGCTGGCCTTTTAACCTGCGAGTGCAACCCGCCCCCCTCCCCGGTTCT